AATCAGTGCCGGACTTAGGCCTAGGCCAACTAGGCCCGGGCCTGGGGTGGCAAATTTTGAGCATACCAAAATATTTATCTATTTTTTTTTTAACTTTTATTTGTTCATAAAATATTTCGAATATAGCCTTAGCCGATATTTATTTACTTAACTATTATTATTGTTTAAATATACCGTATGATCGAATAAAAACGGCGTCATCGATGGCTATGAAATGACGATCGATGACATTTCCCATATAATTTTACATATAAAATGACAGCGATCTTCATTTCATAGCCATTGCTGACGCCGTTTTTATTCGATCATACGGTATAATTCGCTTGGGTTATTTTTTACTGCACTGTGCCATGCATCCAGTTAATAAATACATAAATACCTCGAATTTTAAAGAACTATTCGTCCACTGTTCGTCCGATTTCGTCCAAAATTGGTATGTGGGGGTTTTTGGGAATGAGAATTATTACAAATTTTTAATCGGATTTAAAAAATTTAATATTTAATACCCACATATCAATTTGAGAATCACCCGGTATATTGTAGCCTGTAGTAATATAGATGTATGTATAATGTATTTGTTGGAAATAAATAAATAATAAAAAAAAGTTCTTAACTTGAAAACTAAAAACGTGAAATAGCTATTTATGTAACTAGTACCTAAAATGATGTTTTTTAGGACGAATCATTACTGTTTGCGGACGAGGCGTTAGCCGAGTCCGAAATAGTAGATGAGTCCTAAAAAACATAATTTAGGTACGTGTTACATACACTATTTTTTGTCATACGCTTTTTACAGTTTTTTAGAACGCATATTTGCAAATTTTCCATATTTGAAATTATAATGTTTGAAAAAGTTGGCTTATAAATTCATATCTTAGTAACGAGTTTGTTTATTTCATCGCATTTTGACATGTCATTCGAAATTTGTCACAAAATCACACAAATTCATCAACAATTTAGACATTTTAGTCCATAAAGGTTGCCATGACGACCTTTACGGCCTAGGCCGAAAAAGAAACATTTTACGGACTGAAATGAGTCCGTAAAATAGCTGTTTTTGGGAGCGTATGACAAAAATTCTATTATTTTATACTTTTTAGTACGGTAAAAGCGTTTTTTTTAGTTTTTTAAACTATAATTTATTTTTTGTCATACGCTCCCAAAAACAGCTATTTTACGGACTCATTTCAGTCCGTAAAATGTTTCTTTTTCGGCCTAGGCCGTAAAGGTCGTCATGGCAACCTTTATGGACTAAAATGTCTAAATTCGTTATTTGGTTGTTTTATTTTGTCATTCGAAATTTGTCACAAAATCACATAAAATTATACATATATTTATAATTAAATTATTAAATACTAACAATATCAAAAGCTAAGTTATTTGTTTAAAGTAAGTACCCTAGGTACCTATTTAAAAGAGGCTTTTAAATTAAAATATTCTTAAATTACAGTCACAAACAAGACATAATCATGTGGTACATTTTTGGCCTAAGACAAGCATTTTTTCTATACAACTCAACTGGATTGACAACGTTCCCTTCTGTTCACCACCGGAAACACTCTTTTGATATTAGTTTTTGTATCCGCAAGGGTAACTAAAAGGCAGCTGTTGTCTTTTTCTATGATGTCTTGCACTCGTAGAGTACAATTCTTCTCTTCTACATGCTCCACAAAGGCCAATGACAAGAGCTACCTAAAAAATCAAATACAATGGAATAAGAAACCATCTATATATTTTAAAAATCATTATCGCAAACTTACCTTAGTAAGTAAATAAGTTTCATCACTAGCCGTGGCCAAAAATCACCGATCTCTTTTATGGACAAAACCTTAGACTTTTTAGGCTCGTAACCAACCGAATTCCTCTTCAAAAAGCAATAAGTTTTGGAAATTTGTCAATATAAATATCTTCTTTAACACTTAACACTGCTCTCAGCATGGAATATTTCGACCAAATTGACGATGGTTTGAATGTTTGTGACTGTAATTAAGAATATTTTAATTTAAAGCCTCTTTTAAATAGGTACCTAGGTACTTACTTTTTTCGTGGAAATAATTTAGCAATACATCTTCATTTACAACGAATACGCCATTTTTGTCTTTCCATTCATTAAAAACATCATATTCTTTCTGGTAAATGGCACGAGACTTCACAGGAAGTAAAATCCAACACGATTTCTTTGGCCTTATTAGCAATATGTTCGGGATTTTGGAACATTTTAAAATTGTTGATGAATTTGTGTGATTTTGTGACAAATTTCGAATGACATGTCAAAATGCGATGAAATAAACAAACTCGTTACTAAGATAATATGAATTTATAAGCCAACTTTTTCAAACATTATAATTTCAAATATGGAAAATTTGCAAATATGCGTTCTAAAAACTGTAAAAAGCGTATGACAAAATAGTGTATGTAACACGTACCTAAATTATGTTTTTTAGGACTCATCTACTATTTCTGACTCGGCTAACGCCTCGTCCGCAAACAGTAATGATTCGTCCTAAAACATCATTTTAGGGTACTAGTTACATAAATAGCTATTTCTGTCATATATATTGTTATATTATTATAACATAAGCAAAATCAGAATGGAAAAGATGCATATAACGTCCGCCGGACGTTATCATAACGGCCGGCGGCCGTTAAGTTTCTAAGGTAATCGTAACGTGTGTCACCTGCAACAATGACTATTTATTGTCAGTTGGACTTTTCAAAAATTGGGAAAATAGACCATAGCGAGATGTCGCGAGAAATTCCGTTGGAAATACAGGAGGAAGCGGCTGCGGCTACTCAAAATTATACTTCCGACTATAACCAGAGAGAGATATCAGCAGGAATATGACAATTTTTTGAAGTGGCGGCAGGATAGAAGTATAAACAGCGTAAATGAAGCGGTATTGCTGGCTTATGCTAAAAGAATGTCTGAAATGTATTCTCCTACATCACTGTGGACAAAGATATCCATGCTGAAGCTTGCGTTGAGAGTATATGAAAACATCGACATATCAAGGTAAAAAGCCATTATATTCTTCGATATTTAATCATACTCATCTAAATTATATTTGTTCATAGATTTGGTAAACTGTTCATGTTTCTGAGGCGCAAAACGAAGGTTATTCACCAAAAAAAGCCAAAGTTCTGTCGGAGAATGACATAAATAATTTTCTACTGGATGCCGATGATTACACCTGGTTACTCGAAAAATTGTATTGGTGCTTGGTATTCTTGGAGCTTGTAGGCGCAGCGAGCTTTGGTCACCTACAGTTGATGATTTCGAAGATTCGGAGAAAAATATTCTTGTCTCATTAAGAAATACTAAAAAATAAGAAAGATAGGAAATTTCTTATTCCAAAACGGGCCTTCCGTTTTGATGCCTATGGTTTATACAAAATACATCAACCTGCGTCCTCGTAACTTTGACAATCCAAAATTTTTCATTGGTTACAAGAAAGGCAAGTGTGTTAAGCAAATCGTCGGTATACATACCATCGGGAGAGTACCGCAAAATTGCAAAATTTTTGAACTTGGAGAATCCAGAACGTTATACAGGGCATTCATTTCGTAGATCATCAGCAACCATGCTCGCCGAAAATGGTGGTGATTTACTATCGCTAAAGGAGCTAGGAGGATGGGAGTCTTCAACAGTGGCAGAAACTTACATAGAAAAATCAGTTTCCAAAAGAATGAAAATAACAAATCAACTTTTTCATGATAGCTCCAAAAAAAGTAATGTGTCTTTAGTGGATACAAATATTTGCCATTCTTCAGTAGCATCATCTTCTTTTCTATAAAATCTGTAAATCCCTGGGAAGGATTACAGATTTCTAAGAACAACAAGTGCACTTTTAATTTCCATGTTCATTATCATGAAAAATGAATTTTAGTATAAGACATTATGTATGTTTTTATCCTTACTTGTGTTATTGTTCAATAAAATTTGTTATTAAATAGTAGTGTTTATTGCTCTAAAAAATCTGCAGTATGACGAAAAATCTAGAACGCAACACGGCCGATAACAAATAACGGCCTTGGCTGCTTATGATCCTCGGCTATCGCCTCGGATCACAAACTTCAGCCCGGCCGTTATTTGTTGTTTATCGGCCTTATTACGTTAATAACTATTACCTAAAATGCTTATTAAAAAAGAGTAGGGCGCTTTGCGATATTGATTTGCCTTTTAAGGAAACGCACTTTAAAGCGCCCCACGCTTTTTTATCAAGCATTTTAGGTAAATTCAATTATTTTATACTTTTTAGTACGGTAAAAGCGTGTTTTTTAGTTTTTTAGGAATTTTCGTGAATTTATAAAATGCATTAAGTCAGCAAAACCATCTGCTAGAGAGCTTCTTAAAGTAATTTATGAAAAAAACGCTCAAGACCTGTTTCCAAATACTTTCATAGCATTAAGAATCTTCACATGTACTTTTATTATTAACTGTTCTGCCGAACGCTCGTTTTCTGCACTGAAACGTATTAAAACTATTTATTTACGGTCCACTATGGAAACAGAACGTCTAAATCATTTGGCAGTTTTAGAGAACTATCAATTACGATGAAGTAATTGATAATTTTGCGAACAAAGAATTTTGTAGGAAACCTTTATAGGCATATAAACAAACCTTATAGTTTTGTTGGTCGTTTGTTGTCATTTTATATGAATATTTTAATATTTATTTTATGTTCTGTGTTGATCTGTTCGGTCGGTCTATTCTGTTGTTGATCGTGTATTCAAATAAATGCTTTTTATATCCGTTATTTTTTAATTAAAAAAAATGTTAAGGGGCGGCAAATTTCTTTTAGCCTGGGGCGGCAACTTCGTTAAGTCCGGCTCTGCTAAAAATGGTTACATTTTGATAAAAAAAAAGAAAAATTCAAAAATTGTGTTTCTGGATAGTTCTCCGAACACCGAGAGTTATAGAGGATCCTGAGACCAAGTCAGCAGGCTCGATCTTCTAGTGTATGGGTGACTATTTATATTATTATTATATTAAATCTTACTTCCCACTTTCTTTGGTTGCTTGAGAGTTTTTGTCGATATCTTGAACAACGCCATCAATCTCAGATTTAGTATTTTCCTTTGGACCTTTTAAACTTTCTTCCAATTCTTTATTTGCTTCTTCTGAAGTAACTTTACAACTCTTGGCCGAAGTTCTTTACAGGAGAAATTTACAAAACTATTTTTAAATCTTACCCAAAAGTTTCAATTTTTTTTATGAATTACGAATAATGCCGAACACAATACAGTAACTACAAGTATACGAGTATAAAAAGATGAATACAAAAGGTTTTTAAATATCTATTAGCGGGTAATAAATTTAAGTATACAGGGTCGGTCATAAAGTTGTGGCACATCAAAGTTGCACTTTTTAAATAGAACCCCCTGTATATTACATTGCGTGTATCTCTATTTTTGCTTAGAATTCAAGAAAGAATTCAAATATGCAATAATACAGAAGGGGTTGCACTTAAAAAAAATGAAACTTTGATATACCACGACTTTATAACCGACTCTGTATATTTAAATTTATTACTCGCCAATAAACATAATATAAAAACCCTATAACTTTTATATTTAACTTTTTTGCTGTACCTCCTATATTTTACCCAAATAATCTACCGTTTCCATACATATTCGCGATCCTTTATAGTGTTTTTAACTGAAAATTTCAAAATTTTTCAAACAAATTTCAAAATATACTTTTTAAATTATTTTTTATTAAAACTGTTAATGTTAGGTATACCGGGTGCGTCTCAAAAGTGGCTCACCCCTATAACTTTTTTTACAGAGAACTTATGTACAGGATGGTCGGAATTGATCTGTTTTAACAGAGAAAGCCTATTTCCTGACTAGATAGACCAAAACCGACATAGATGTCATGGGCTCGATTTCTGAGACACGTTTAATAGCATAAACCGCCTGTTGATAGTTTCACTGCCAACTGAGATACGGTGTCTTTTTGATTTTTTTACCATTTTGAAAATTGTCCATAACTTTTTTAATTCCCGGAATAATAAAATTCTGTAAAGACGTTCTTAATGCACTTTTTTAAGCACAATCCAGTGGCGTAGTGAGTTTTTTTCTATGCTTGCTCTTTTTGTCAGAAATAATAAAAAATATAATTTTTTAAATGGAAATCATACTTGGCTATGAACTTAAAAAAATGCTGACGTTTAACCATTTCGAACGATATAAAATTATGGGTACCTATTCCTAAGAATGAGAGAAATATTAGGTTTTTCATCTTTCTATCGAAGTGTGCCTTGATTTTGTGTTGACCTAATTGTCTAATTATCTTTTATCGCAATTTAATATTCTATATTATTATTTATCTGCATAATTAGAGACTTTTGAAAAGGTAAATTAATATCCTATATTAGTTTTAGTAATTGCAATTGAAATCGATACAATAAACAAAGAACAAAGCTAAAAAACATATTTTTTGAGTGACGAATATAGTTTTCTAAAAAAAATCATCAGATGTTCAAACTGAGCACCTCCTTGTTGAATACATAATAAACATCTTTTGCGCACAGAGTTACAGCGATTTATTAGGCGAACTGGTGTAATAAGTCCAAAAGCTTGCCTAGTAGCCTTCTGCAATTCTTCTCTCGTCCCAATGGTTCCTCCTTTATATATAAGGTCTTTTAATTTTCCCCATAAAAAATTCGAAAGAAGTTATGGGGTCCCTTGTTTCAATCCGATTCTCTATAAATTCTCCATTTAATGACGTTTTAATTGTAATTGGTAAAACTAATATAGAATATTGATTTATAGTTTCAAAAGTCTTTAATTTTGCAGATAAATACTAATATAGAATATTAAATTGCGATAAAAAAATAATTAGGCAACAAGGTCAACACAAAATCAAAGCCCGCTTCGATACAAAGATAAAAAACCCTAATATTTCTCTCATTGTTAGAAATAAATACCCCTAACTTTATATCGTTGCAAAGGGTTAAACATCAGCATTTTTTTAAGTTTATTGCCAACTATGATTTTCATTTAAATAATTATATTTTTTATTATTTCTGACAAAAAGAGCAAGTATAGAAAAAAAACTGACTAAGCCACTGGATTGTGCTTAAAAAAGTGCCTTTAGAACGTCTTTACAGAATTTTATTTTTTCGCGAATTAAAAAGTTATGGGCAATTTTCAAAAAAAAATGGTAAAAAAATCAAAAAGACCCTGTATCTCAGTTGGCGGTGAAAATATCAACAGGCGGTTTATGCCATTAAGCGTGTCTCAGAAATCGAGCCCATGACATCTACGTCAGTTTTGCTCTATCTAGTCAGGAAATAGGTTTTCCCTGTTAAAACAGACCAATTTCGACCACCCTGTACATAATAAAAAATGGAGGCACCCATTTAAAATAAGAAAGTTGCTGTCAACTTACGGTATTTCCGGAAGTGCCGCCATATTGAAAATATGTTTAATCGATAGATCTCGTTGTGAAACTATGATGTGCAAAAAATCTCCGAGCTAGATATTGTATTTCTCTAGTAACTTCTAATGAACGCTTATCCTGGGACACCCTGTATACCAACTTCAAATACGTGTCAAATAATACCAAAATTAAATATAATATTTTGAAATTTGATGCATAATCCGATTTTTTTCGTATTTCAAATTACTACTAAAAATTGTTACATTTTGATAAAAAAAAAGAAATTCAAAAATTATATGTTTCTGGATAGTTCTCCGAACACCGAGAGTTATAGAGGATCCTGAGACCAAGTCAGCAGGCCGGATCTTCTAGTGTATGAGTGACTATTACATAAATTAATATTAAATCTTACTTCCCACTTTCTTTGGCTGCTTGAGAGTTTTTGTCAATATCTTGAACAACGCCATCAATCTCAGATTTAGTATTTTCCTTTGGACCTTTTAAACTTTCTTCCATTTCTGTTTTTCTTTGGTCAAATTCTTTATTTGCTTCTTCTGAAGTAACTTTTTTACAACTCTTGACCGAAGTTCTTTACACGAGAAATTTACAAAACTATTTTTAAATCTTACCCAAAAGTTTGAATTTTTTTATGAATTACGAATAATGCCGAACACAATACAAATACAGGGCCGCTGATATGTATGAAGACGGTCGATTATTGAGCAATGTATACGAGTATATAAAGTTAAATACAAAAGTTATAGGGATATTATTATATAACTTGGTAACATTTGAGGGGTAGTTTCATCTCGTTGGAATTTGACTTTCGAAAAATCCGTTTGCCAAAAATAAGCTTTTTACGTCAAGCAGTTTAAGCAGAATCGTGGTTAAGAAATTACCCAACTTTTTGGAACACCCCGTATCATTTTTTAAAAAAATTCAAAATATGTAAAAAAACCAAATAAATTATGCTTGTCCAAGCGTTTTCCCGAAAGACTAACCGTTTTTTAAATAACAAATATTGTAATATTTGAGGGGCGTTTTCACCCTCTTGGATTTTGAGATTCAAACCAAACCCCTCCTTATCGAACCTCTACACCCCACAGTCAATCCGTTTGCCAAAATCAGCTTTAAACGTCAAGCAGTTTAAGCAGAATCGTGATTACTCAATGGTTTGAAACACCCTGTATAAATTTATAAAAAATCTTAAAATATGTAAAACAACAAAATAAAATATACGTGTTTTAATTTGTAAGAGTTTTAATTCAGTTAGTTTTCATTTCAATTAATTGTAAGAGTTTTTCCGAAAAACTCACCGGTTTTTAAATAAAAAATATATTAATATTTGAGGGATAGTTTCACCCCCTTAGAATTCGAGTTTCGAAAAATCCCTTCTTATCGAACCTCTACACCCTAAAGTCAATCTGTTTTCCAAAAATCAGCTTTTTACGTCAAGTGCTTTAAGCAGGATCGTGATTAATCAATGACCAGATTTTTCGAAACACCCTGTATACATTTTTAAAAAATCTTAAAATATGTAAATAAACAAAATAAAATATACGTGTTTAAGCGTTTTTTCGGAAACTTGACCTTTTTTTAAATAAAAAAATATTGTAATATTTGAGGGGTGGTTTCACACTCTTGGAAATGGAATTTCGAAAAATCCTACACCCTAGAATCAACCTGTATACCAAAACTGAGCTTCTTACGTTGAGTGGTTTGAGCAGGATCGTGATTAATCAGTATGTCAGTCACTTAAGGATTTTATATATTAGTATAGATAAATGTTAACTTAAAAACTAATGTTAAACAGTATTAAGTATCATAGTTTCCGCAGAATGGCATCGTTAAATGAAACCGAACACATCGAAATTAATTACATCGAATTGTATAAGTGATATTTTCAAAAGTCAATAACTCGGAAACGGTTGGTTTGAGGTACATTGTGTGTATCTATATTTTTGCTTAGAATTCAAGGAAGAAATGAAATACGCAATAATACAGAAGGGGTTGCACTTAAAAAAATGAAACTTTGATATACCACGACTTTATAACCGACCCTGTATACTTAAATGTATTACTCGCCAATAGACATATAAAAACCCTATAACTTTTATATTTAACTTTTTTGCTGTACCTCGTATATTTTACCCAATAATCGACCGTTTCCATACATATTCGCGATCCTTTATAGTGTTTTTTAAATGAAAATTTCAAAATTTTCCAAATTTCAAAATATACTTTTTAAATTATTTTTTATTAAAACTGTTAATGTTAGGTATACAGGGTGCTACAAATTCGAGGTATGAGCATTGGTATCTCGGTAACCGTAATGGATACGAACATGGTTAAATTGGGGCAAAGTTGCGCTTTGGGATGTTCACCAAGATGCCATCAAAAAACTTTTAAAAATTTCAAGGATTGCTGAGTTTTTTGGAAAAAACTAATTTTTTTGAAAATCAATTTTATTTTTTCCTGTCGTTACTTTTTAGAAAATCAAAAAACTAATGCACATTCTCAAGGATAGTATTTTTAGATTTTCAAATTAGCTGATAATTTGTGAGATACAGAGGCAAACTTAATTTTTTTAAATACGGACCGGCATCTTTTATTTCAGATTTTGAAAGAACTCGGTCTCCTGAGTACAATGATATGCGACACTTAATACTTTTTTGTTTTGACATTTGAACACAATTTATTTAAACTAATTTCAAGTCCGGCTCTGTTTTTTTTTTAATATTTAATCTATTCATCGTTACAATATTGATTAGCATTCAAACTTAACAATGATGTGGAGTAAAACATTGAATGCGGGAAATCTAATGTAATAAAATAATTAATATAAATATAATATAACATAGACAATCAAATCATTTTCCCGGAAGATGGATTGGAAATGGTAGAGAGCAGTATAATGTCCAGCGAGGTTTCTGGACCTATCGCCAAGTGGCTACATTACTTGACGTCCTTTGTAAAAGTGAAATCAATTCATCTCAACATTTACAATAAAGAGTGTACAAAATGCATTTGGAAGTATAAGAAGAAAGTTCAAAGAGCTATAAATAAAATTGAACGAAAAATAAATTTGTGCAATAGGGAGGGTGGTAACCCTTTCGAACATGTAGAACATTAGAAACTAGTTTGTAGAAGTTGATTTATTTATATTAACTACGATTAATATTATGCATATTATTAGATCGCACACTGAGATTTCAAATTCACAATAAAAAAAGTTAAAAATATAATAATAATATCTTAAAATTTCTGATCACCTGGATATTTATTTAAATTTTCCAATTGGATCGATTTTCCTTATTCAATGTTAATTAGCGCTGATCAATATTGTTGCGATGAATATAATCAGATTAAAAAATTTAAGAAACCAGAGTCGGACTTGAAATTATTGTAAATAATAATTAAATAGTTTTGTTGTTGTTAAGGTACCCAAAACAAAAAAAGTATAAAGTGTGGCATATCATTGTACTCAGGAGACCGAGTTCTTTCAAAATTTGAAATAAAAAATGCAGGTCCGTATTTAAAAAAAATAAGTTGGCCTCTGTATCTTACAAATTATCTGTTAATTTGAAAATCTAAAAATAATATCAGATAGCTCTAATAAAGTGGCTATGAGAATGTGCAATTAGTTTTTTGATTTTTTAAAAACTAACGACAAGAAAAAATAAAATTGATTTTCAAAAAAATCGGTTTTTCCAAAAAACTCAGCAATCCTTGAATTTTTTAAAACTTTTTTGATGGCATCTTGGTGACCATCTCAATACGCAACTTTGCCCCAATTTAACCATGTTCGTATCTATTACGGTTACCGAGATACCAATGCTGGTACCTCGAATTTGTAGCACCCTGTAGAGAGTATTTGATGTCAAAATTCATAAAATTTTACAGAGAATTTAAGTATATATGTAATAAAAAATGGGGGTACCCATTTAAAATAAGAAAGTTGCTATCAATTTCCGGTATTTCTGGAACAGCCGGCATATCGCAAATATTTATAATTTTGATAGATTTCGTTATTACGAATACCGAATATTGATCTAAATTCAACAATTAAACTTGTTAATATTCGGTGTCGTTGTGAAACAATGATGTGCAAAAAATATCCGATCTAGATATTGTAGTTCTCTAGTAACTTCTAATGAACGCTCATCCTGGGACACCCTGTATACCAACTTCAAATAAGTATGTGTCAAATAGTACCAAAATTAAATATCATAATATTTTAAAATTTGGTGCATAATTCCGCATTTATTCGTATTTCAAATTACTACTAAAAATGGTTACATTTTGATAAAAAAAAACGAAAAATTGTGTTTCTGGATAGTTCTCCGAACACCGAGAGTTATAGAGGATCTTGAGACCAAGTCAGCAGACTGGATCTTCTAGTGTATGGGTGACTATTAGATAAATTAATATTAAATCTTACTTCCCACTTTCTTTGGCTGCTTGAGAGTTTTTGTCGATATCTTGAACAACGCCATCAATCTCAGATTTAGTCTTTTCCTTTGGACCTTTTAAACTTTCTTCCATTTCTGTTTTTCTTTGGTCAAATTCTTTATTTGCTTCTTCTGAAGTAACTTTTTTACAAGCCATGGCCGTGTCCTTTACACGAGAAATTTACCAAACTATTTTTAAATCTTATCCAAAAGTTTCAATTTTTTTTATGAATTTGTCTGAATTTTGAGTTTGACGTGATTCATTATTGTTAAAGTAGTAATTTTGACATGATTTTTTTAACTAGAGGTAGGGACTTGTTCTCATGGTGATTTTGATTCCAGGATAATGATAATTTTCTGCTTTTGTAACGCGTGTTAAATATTGCAGAATAAATCAGTTAAAACCAGTGCAGAAATCAAACCACACCCTTCCAGCATGGTTTAGCCCTCCGTGCCCTTCACAGTCGAGGTACTCTTGAGGTGGAGGCTTGAGGGTCTGTCTCCATTTTCTCCACCATAACTTGGTCTCTCCTTAGACCTATATATTCTCTCCTTGGATTTGAGGTCAATTCCTATTGTGAGGCTCTCCTCCCTCGAGTTGATGACTCGCCAACTCGATGCCCTTACATGAGAGTTCTGACAAAGCTGGTGATACACCCCAAGGGTTAGTTGGTTGGTTGGTTAGGCATGTAGAAGTAAGGGCAAAGTACGTAGGTAAGGGAGACGAGAATACAATGGGTTGCCCCCTGGTGCCCTAAGGTTGAGACCATTAGTAGAGCTAGTCTTCTGCCTAGCCACGCATCCCTTTGACCTGGTTCCACCTTCGTAGGATTTAGTTTTTACACACCCTCTGCCCATGATACATGACCACAGACAATAGAGGGTGCTAGGTATGACTGACAGGGTCAGGTATCCGGCATCGTTATACGTATTCAAACAAATTTCAAAATATACTTTTTAAATTATTTTTTATTAATACTGTTAATGTTATGTATATAGAGTATTTGATGTCAAAATTCATAAAATTTTACAGAGAATTTAAGTACATATGTAATAAAAAATGAGAGTACCCATTTAAAATAAGAAAGTTGTTGTCAGTTTCGGTATTTCTGGAACAGCCGTCATATCGCAAATATTTATAATTGATAGATTTCGTTGTCACAGTTTAATTGTTAATAGTCGGTGTCGTTGTGAAACAATGATGTGGCAAAAAATATCCGATCTAGATATTGTAGTTCTCTAGTAACTTCTAATGAACGCTCATCCTGGGACACCCTGTATACCAACTTCAAATATGTGTCAAATAATAGTACCAAAATGAAATCATAATATTTTAAAATTTGGTGCATAATTTGCATTTTTTTCGTATTTCAAATTACTACTAAAAATGGTTACATTTTGATAAAAAAAAAAAAGAAAAATTCAAAAATTGTGGGTCTGGATAGTTCACCGAACCCCGAGAGTTATGGAGGAACCTGCGGCCAAGTCAGCAGGCTGGATCTTCTAGTGTCTGGGTGACTATTAGATAAATTAATATTAAATCTTACTTCCCACTTTTTTTGGCTGCTTGAGCGTTTTTGTCGATATCTTGAACAATAGCTTCAATCTCAGACTTAGTTTTTTCCTTTAGACTTTTTAAACTTTCTTCCATTTCTGTTTTTCTTTGGTCAAATTCTTTATTTGCTTCTTCTGGAATAACTTTTTTACTAGCCATGGCTGAAGTTCTTTACACGAGAAATTTACAAAACTATTTTTAAATCCTCCCCAAAAGTTTCAATTTTTTATGAATTTGTTTGAATTTTGAGTTTGACGTGATTCATTATTGTTGAAGTAGTAATTTTAACATGTTTTTTTAACTAGAGGTGGGGACTTGTTCTCATGGTGACTTTGATTCACGAATAATGATAATTTTCTGCTTTTGTAACGCGTGTTAAATATTGCAGAATAAATCAGTTAAAACCAGTGCAGAGATCAAATTATACCCTTCCACGGTTGTTTAGCCCTCCGTGTCCTTCACAGTCGGAGGAAGTTTATATCCGGCTTAGGTACTCTTGAGGTGGAGGCTGGAGGATCTGTCTCCATTTTCTCCACCTCTTTAACATGGTCTCTCCTTAGACCTGATACCGGACTTGTCCCGGATCTACAGGGTCCAGCAATAGTGCGTCGGGCATCTGTAGTTCCTAGAGTAAAAAACTCGGGAATTTTGTTTAAGTGCACATTTCAGGAAAATATTTTAACTTCTATAGGGTGGCTTAAAGAAGTGTGAGTGGATCAGGATGATTTTTTAAAATGGAACACCCTGTATATTATTGCATAACCCTAAAATATGAGTAAATATATTTCGATACTTTCAGAGATATTAATTAATAAATAAAAAATATATATGTATGTATTTTTCAGTCTTTCTTAAAAAAAATATTAACCGTCTTAAAATCAAAACTATATTAGGTATTTACTTTAGATGGTCTGTACTTACTTCGCTATAACTATGGAAATCGTAAATCATACAGGATGTTCAAAATTGTACGCCAAACTTTCTAAAATATAAAATAATATTTTTTCTTTTTTTTTAAGTGGAACACCCTGTATATTATTATTTTATTAGATGGAGAATTAAAAAATGACCATTTTTTTTGTATTCTGTATTCATCTGCGAAATCATTAAAAATTTTAAAATACTTTAACTACAAAAAATTTTCATTTTTTAACTTTCCATCTAATAAAAAAATAATATACAGGGTGTTGCGTTTACAAAAAGAAAGAAAAATTATTTTATATTTTAGAATGTTTGGCGTAGAATTTTAAACACCATGTATGATTTAAGATTACGATATTTATAGCAAAGTAAGTATAGACCATCTGAAGTAAATGAAGAAAGAAAGGCTGAAAAATATATTTTTATTTATTCATTAATATCTCTGAAACTATCGAAATATATTTACTCATACCTTAGGAGTATGTAAAGTGATCTGTGAAAAGAAGCCAAAAATGCAATAATATACAGAATAGAAAAAAAATCGTGGGTGTTTGTGAAGGCTCTAACGGAAACAAATTATGTTTTTTGCGACGTTTTGCGATTGTCGTTTCTTCAGGTACTATAGGAGAAGCAATGTTTTAAAAATATAAAAAGAAAATAAACTGGCCACTTACCCAAAACATATGTATATTAATCCAAATGCCTAAAAATATTCATGGCGATTCCAACCGCCAACACTAAGACACATACATGTACATATATACAGGGTGGCAATTTGAAAACGAACAGTATTTAATATTACCTCTACCGATGATAGTATGAAAATTTGGCGAGAAATACGTCAATTTACATATCAAGGGAGACAATTTTTGAGGCATTTGTTGTCGTGTTACTCTCAACCCTTTGACCCCCAGGGCACCTACCCCTAAAATTTTAAACGGCAACCCATATTTCTTTTACCATTTTTGTGTTCCTTATAAAATTCTCAAAAAAATAATGCAGTTCATGTAGAATTCAATAAGAAACACAAAAATGGTAAAAGAAATAGGGGTTGCTATTTAAAATTTTAGCGGTAGGTGCCCTGGGGGTGAAGGGGTTGAAAGTAACACGACAACAAATGCCTCAAAAATTGTCCCCCTTGATATGTAAATTGACGTGTTTCGCCAAATTTTCATACTATCATCGGTAGAGGCAATATTAAATACTGTTCGTTTTCAAATTGTCACTCTGTATATCATCCAACCACCAACACTACGACATACATATTTTTAGGCATTTGGATTAATATAATATGTTTTGGGTAAGTGGCTAGTTGATTTTCTTTTTATATTTTTAAAACATTGCTTCTCCTATAGTGCCTGAAGAAGCGACAATAAAGTCGCGAAACGTCGCAAAAAAACATTATTTGTTTCCTTTCGAGCCTTCACAAACACCCACGATTTTTTTTTCTGCACACTAACTACTGGGAACTAACAATAATCATAAATATACAGGGTGTTCACTTTTTCACTTTGTTTTTTTTTATTTTAATAGCTACAGATGCCCGACGCACTATTGCCAGACCCTGTATAATCATTTTAAATAATTATTAAAATTTTCAACAGATGATCTTGTCCTGGAGAAGAGCAAATTCAAGGCCATCGCCGACGAAATGGACCAAACAGTCGCCGATTTTGTTGGATACTGAAGCCAAAACCTAAAACTCCACCACTGCCTTTCCATAATAAGAGTTGTGAAATATTTTTCATTTGCTTAAGTTGTAGGTACCTTGTACATTCCATGATAGTCTTTCACAAATTGTTACAATATATGTATTATAATTTAGTTTCAAAATAATTGTATGTCGCATTTTTATACTTAAGCTTAATTTTCGTACATTCCAATTTCGTTTCTTCGTGTTCTGCGTAAAACAATATCGCAGCATGAAACTATTCGTAAAAAGTACGAAGGCTTTTTAAGCCCTCCATAGTAAAAAGTTAAGTATTTTAACGATTATTGGGACGTATTAACCTGACAGCTACCAACATAAAAATTGGTCTCAATATTTGTACGAAATACCGTATAATAAAAAAAAACGGTGTCAGCGATGGCTATGAAATGAAGATCGCTGTCATTTTATATGTAAAATTATATGGAGAATGTCATCGATGTTTATTTCCAAGCCAACTGGACGCCGTTTTTTTTCGATCATACGGTATGTGGATGCATGAGAACGTTAACTTTAAACTTTTTTCGCAGAAATATTACCAAATTGGTATACATGAAGCCACACTGTATTTCTATAGGGTATTCCATTTTAACCATAATGATAAAGACAAAAAAATCGTATATGGTTTGTTTTTCGATCCTTGACAGTTACGTCAGCATTATCGACCCCTTATTGGTGTTCACGTCTATTCTGAATTGGTCCATTTAGCTGTTCTAAGATGATGTTTGACTTTTTCTATTCGTACACGCTAGACAAGGAAGCTCAATCTTGTTTCCGTAATGAGATGGTGATCAGCATATAAAAAGAGAAAATATTGAAAATAATGGTACGGGGATCTGAGAAATAAAATGGACTTACATTTATGACTAAAAATTTCCGTTTAATGTAATAAGAGACCCAAGAGAGTGACAATCCGTAAGGTAACAGCCAAGGATCGAAAAACAAAGCGTAAGTACTTATTTATTTCTCATGTCGTTCTAAATCATTAAAACCAAAATTTTAGACATACATACATTGGATATATGTGCATATACTTTGATTTTCTATCAGATTTACTTAAATATATTTTTTTTTCTAAAGAAAACAATGCCCTAGTTCTGTTATACAAATAAAATGTTCATATTTTTTCTGCACTTTCTCGTTTTAAAAGCTTGTTTGCGAGAACATTGTTGCTCATTTATGAAAATATGATATTTTCTACAAATAAAAAGAAACGAAAAATTGTGTTTTTTTGAAAACCCCCCAATCCCTATCAGTGGCGGATACAGAACCACTGGTGGGACAAAGGCCCTGAAATCTATAAATTGGGTTAAATATTAGACTTTTGGGTCAAAAATGGCGCCCTAAAAAGCATATTCTACAGTACTTTTTATTTGGGCCCTCCTAAAATAAATTTCTGTATCCGCCCCTATATATTTTTCCTATTTCTTATCACGTAAAAATCCTTCAGCACGAAAAGGTAGGAAACTTCTAATTTTCCGAACAAAAATCACTTCACAATCAACAGACCTAATTATTGAGCATTATCTTCGTAGGTAGTATCACAAGCTAGTATAAGAAAAAAAAATGGGCTCCAGCGGAGGAATTATTCAGAAAAAAATTACGTTTGAAAATAATAAGCTAGCAAGTACCTATCTGTCTCCTTATACAGGGTGTTATTAAGGGAGATATTTATATAAGCTATTATTAGTCAAAATATGAATAAGTTTGTAAAAATCTGAAAATTTTTGGGCCAGGAAATGATTGTCCGTTTTATTTTATCATAAAATATGACAAAATTCGAACAAATTCGTTCCAAAATGTGATAGCTGTTGATTCTATCTTTTAAATGAACTTTGGATCATCAAAAAATATTAATTTTAACAGAGTTATTAACCAATTTGTCCTATCAATCAATGATACGCTTATAAAATCTATCCCCGGAGCTGTTAAGACTTGGAGAGAAAATTCAAGGATCTTCGAGGCAGAATCTCTCGAAAACTACTAATTCTACGTAAAAAATAATAAGGGCCATTTTTATAAGTAACTACCTAAGCTACATTTTTTATATAATAATAATAGCTCCCGTATACCGGGTGTTGCATCGTCGAGCGGGACATAGGAAATCCCATGTAAATTTTAATGGGGTCAATTATTGACTTCCCTAATTATTTTAGAGAATAATTCTATTTAGGTTTATTGAAGAGCACTAAAACCCACGTTCAAAAGAATAACTTTAGATATTTTTGATTAGCCCGTTTACGAGTTATCGCCGATTTCTTTTTAAATATTTCTCCTTTCTTATGGCCCTATATTTACTTGTGAGCACCAGTCAAGGTAAAAGATAACTGTCAAATGAAGTTGTCATTTCAGAAATTTATCTATTTAATGCTTTATTATTATTATTAAAAACTCATACCTACATCCAAAGCCTACATCGAAAATATTAACCATGAATTACACTACCCAAGAAAAAGTATTTATGATTAAATGTTAAATGACATTATTAAGGAAATAGTTATCAAAAGGTGTCGGACATGTTTGTTGCTCTGTATCCGAATAGACCGATACCTGGAAAATCTACAATCGCAAGGAATATCCAGAGATTTGAGACCAAAGGTACCCTAATAAATAACTGCAGATGTGAAGCAAGGCAGGAACAAAGAGAAGATGCAAGAAATGATACCGACTTGGAAGTTTTATTGTGCGTGGAAGAGAACGATGGAAAGATCAGCACAAGGAAACTTGAGGATGAAATAGGAATAGATCACACTACAGCGTTTCGAATTTTGAAACGACATAAATACTGTATGATCGAGAAAAAATGGCGTCAGCGATGGCTATGAAATGAAGATCGCTGTCATTTTATATGTAAATTTATATGGGAAATGTCATCGATCGTCATTTCCCAGCCAACTGGACGCCGTTTTTTTTTTTGATCATACGGTACTATTCCTTCAAATATGAAAAGCCCTAAGAGCTACAAGATGGGGACGAAATACGGCGGCAGGCGTTTTGTTTTGATATGATGGAAAGAGCAAACACGGATAGGGAATTTTTAAAAAAACATATGTTTCACTGTCGAATGCACGTTTACCTTAAATAATGAACCCAATGTTCAAAATTATCGATATTGGAACAAAGAAAACCAACACAGGTTTGTCGAAACAAGGACGCAATATCCACAGAAAGTAAATGTTTGGGCAGGGATATTCGGACACAATATTATCGGGCCATTATTTCTTACGCGAAATTTAAATGCAGAATATTATTTGGAACTACTCGAAAATCATATTTTACCTGCTTTACATGATGCCGCTAGGGAAAATCAAGAAGTGTGGTACCAAATGGATGGCTGCCCGGCACATACAGTACGTCTGTCCGTTCTGTAGCTACGGGGTATCCGTGAGAGGGGAAACGATATTCTCTCGATGTTTTTCGTAAAAAAAACAGACGACGCGTCCCATCAATAAAAATTCAACAAATTATCAAGTAGCCAATAAAATGAGTGGGCGGAGCGATTTGCGGTGACGCACTCGTCAAATCAACGTATAAAATATATTGCTGTTTATTTAAATGTTTTTTGTCCGCATTCCTTTCATAGACACAGATCCAGCAGATGTACTGTAGTACCCTGGCTGTTCGGGAATATTTAGACAATAGTTTTAACGGAAACGTTATTGGCCTAAATCATACAGTAAATTGGCCAGCAAGGTCTCCCGATATTTCGCCAAATGATTTCTTTCTCTGGGGCCATTTAAAAAACAGGATATACAAGGATAAAAAAATACCCAAATCTCGACGAGTTAAAAAATGCTATTTCTGCCGAATGCAATAGAATTTCAGTTTGCCAACTAGCGAATGTAAGAAGAGAATTTTATGATCGCCTGGGTTATTGTCTAGCAGTCGATGGAGGAATATTTGAACATCTTAAATCCAAAAGTTCTAACAATTTAATAGTACCTAAATTAATAAGTTATTGAATATTGTAATAATACTATAATTAACCTTGTAATTGATTACTTTATTTTACTTTAATTCATATTAATTTGTATTTATAAATACATCTTTAAGATTTCCGATGTAGGAATGAGTTTTTAATAATAATAAAAAGCACTAAATAGGTAAATTTCTGAAATGACAACTTCATTTGACAGTTATCTTTTACCTTGACTGGTGCTCATAAGTAAATACAGGGTCATAAGAAAGGAGAAATATTTAAAAAGAAATCGGCGATAACTCGTAAACGAGCTAATCAAAAATATCTAAAGTTAGTTAACCTAAATAGGATTATTCTCTAAAATAATTAGGGAAGCCAATAATTGACCCCATTAAAATTTACATGGGATTTCCTATGTCCCGTCCGACGATGCGACACCCGGTATGTAAGATAACACAGTAGTACTATAAATAACTATTTTCTACGATCGTGCAAAAAGTGGTTATTTTTTATCGCGATATCTCCCTAGTGGTTGACTTTTGACCCAACGTTTATGAAGCAAACTACCCTTTATTTTGAACGAGGAATCACCCTCGCATTTGTTTTTAAACACCCTGTATAGCGTTTAACGCCTTGGGAGTAGCAAGGTACAGCTTGCCATACTAGAGCCGTTCGGTATTTGTATACTAGTGCTTGTCCTTGTGGAAGGTAATGTGGCTAGCACTACAATTCAACCGCCTATTATTACCTCAGGATTGTGAATCCCAAGTACTCATTTAAGGCTGAGTCGACCTAGGTACCCGAACTATTTTTATTTTAATAAAAATAGTCGGCTGATGAAATGCCGGGTGTAGGATTCGAACCCACTACCTTGAGATTGGTAGACGAGAGCCTGTACCTCTACGTCACCGGGCACCGCTTCATTTTTTATTCCAAGAAAAATTTTGTAAATTGCATATTTTGGCAGGTATTTGCGAAAACTAATTTTTCGACCATTTAAGGTTATTTTTTCGGCTCTAAGCTGACCGAGCACGGTGTTTAATTTTTTCCCTAAAACTGCTCCCCAAAAGTTACGCAATCCCCGAAAAGTCCAGGTCGATGAATTAGGCCGTGGTTTCAACCTTTATTTACTGGACTAATTTTATTTGTCTAGTTAATGTTAATTAGTCTAAAGTAGATTGTTAATTTTCATTTTTCTTACTAATTTTTTTTCTTTGAATGTTATTTTTTAAGAATGTATTATATTATTTACTTTTTTTTTATATGCTCGGTTAACTTAACAGCTCTGCTGAATTTCGCCGAGTAAAAAATAAAGACTTTATTTATTTTATTTATTTTTATTTAAATAAGTATAGGGCTTAAAACGTAAACTAATTTGTAAGTGCATATATGTAGATGACTCTTGGGCGTCCTCTGGTCCTTTTCGAATACTTAGTGTAGTTCCCGACGGATTGTTCATTGTTCACATCCGGTGATCCTGATAATTAAGTCTGTAAAGATAGTATATTACAGAAATCATTACGTAGTTCCGATATTTAAGTATTATAAGTTTCAGGTGTATCTACATATTCAGAATAGATATTCGAATCTCTACTTAGAATTTCGAGCTCCATTTCAGATATCACTGAAAATACTTTAGCTTTTGCTACAGCTCTATCTCGAAGAGGGAAAGTCTGAACTGTGGTAGCCACACTGTCAAAAAATTGCTGGATATCATTCGTCTCTGTTTTATTTTCTGGAACGAATTGATTCAGGGAAGTTGGAGGCGTCTCACTGGAAGTAGATTGCGGAGCGATCGTTTCACCAAATTTAGCTCGTTTTGGTTTTGGCCTATTGCCGCTTTGTGACGATGTTGTTTGCCTTAGAAGTGATGATTTTTCTGGCATACTAACTTCGAGAAAAGCCGTTCTTTCAATATCGTCGTCGGAACCGTTTTCTTCAATATCACTGTGGTTTTCTTCTTTGGATAATTTAAAGGTGCCAAGAGGATCTTGATCGGATTTAGATCTTTCTCTCATATAGGGCAACAGAAAGGACATCTGTTTCTCATATCTCCATCTTCTTATTACTCCGGTAAATTCTCCACTTTGTTGTTCTTTTTGTTTCTTTACAGAGCGTCGGTATGCATCGCGTAATGTAGCCCATATCCTCTTGCAGTCTTTAGCTGTAACAAACAAATAATATCCTACTTTATTTTTGTTTCAGGTTTTTGTCAACTGAAGACTTTTATCTGATTTTACCTATAATTTTACCTATAGATGAGTTTATATGCATCGGTAATGCGTCGCGTCGTTCGTCGTTCCGTCACTCCAATCATACAGGATGTTTATCAACATAGGCCCGATTCTGCTTTGTTTCGTAGCTACAGGGTGTTAAAATATTAATATTTTTTAGATTTATTATAATTTTCTTCCAAGTACTTTTAGCGTTTCGAATAAAATTTTGAGGATAAGAGTTACTATAAATGCGACATATTTTAAACCTAAAAAAGTGTCGACATATTTACCAGGGACAAGCTTATGGGTTATCACTGTAATATTTTTCTAAAAAAAGCATGTACGCCAATGACTGTTTTTTCTCTTGTTAGCGAAATAGTGTAAGCAGTTTAATGCCGATTAAAAGTTGTCTCTTGATATTTGGTCGATTTCTGCCTCCTTGATGAGATAAACGCAATTTTATTAATTTACCTCGATCCAAGTCTAATAGCAATAACCTTTAAAAAAAATTAATATCATTAACTTGCGAGAGATTTAAATAAGTACTCATTGATTCCTCATCAAAAAATACAAAAAAAGTTCCTATAAACATGGATATGGAAATGCATAGAGTTACAGGATGTTAAAAATTTTTAAAATTAGGTCTTTTGTAATTATCTTAAATATCATTATTTTTTTTTTTTGAAATTGCTGTATGTTGGACTAATAGCAATATAATTAATATAAAAAATATACAATAGTAATAATATTTAATAATAAATTAGGTAAAATATATAATTTATATATTTTATTTTAATTTTATAAATTGTGATTAATAAAATTGCGTTTATCTTAACAAGGAGGCCAGAAATATTCCGATTGCTAATAATAAATCATAATAAAAAAAATCTTATCAAGGAGGCCAGAATTTGAAAAAATTTCAAGAGATAATTTTTAATAGGCATTAAACGGCCTACACGATTTTGATATCAAAAGAAAAAAAGTCAGTGCCGCACATATGTTTTTTTTTGAAAAATATTCCAGTGATAACCCATATGCACGTCCCTGATGAATTTATCGAAACTTTTTAGCATCAAAATATGTAACACTTATAGTAACTTTTACCCCCAAAATTTCATTCGATTCACTAAAAGTTCTTGGAAGAAAATTATAATAAATCGAAAGACTTTAACACCCTGTAGCTACGAAATAAAGCAGAATCGGATCTATGTTGGTAAAAATCGTATTTTTATGTGAGGAATCTCCCCACGAGAGATGGCACATGTTTTTTAAAACACCCTGTATATTCAAGCATGAGCTGTCATTTTTGAAACAAACCAGTAACTTGCACAAATCAACGACGGACGACGCATTAGTGCAGTGTTGCCAGAATTGAAGGATTTCCTTCAATATGAAGCATTTTACAGTCAAATTTCGTCGCTTGAAGAGTTGAAGGATTTTTAGCCAAAAAGAAGACAATATGGAGGTTTCTGACAGTTTTGCACAATAAAAAATTGTTAAAATATGTAGTAGGAGTATCTATTGTTTTTCCTACATCTATTTTTCACTTTAACGGCGTTTAATTAAGGATGTCTCACTTTAAAGCAATGCTGCTGTCAAAAAGTAAGCAAATCAAAATATTTTAACAATTAACAAAAAATTAATATTAGATACATTTTTATCTTTCAACACATCTTAGAATTTTTTGTGATGTTGAAGGAATATGAAGGTTTTTTAAGGCTCCGTTAAAGATATTCGCTCGAAAATTTCTGGCAACACTGCATTACTGTAAGTTAAGCATGCGTAATGCGTCGTACGTGGGTCTGTTTCCTTAGGGTAGGATAGCGTAAGAGTACGCATTCCGTAAGAGTACGCGGCGGCCATATTTACGAAGTGACAAGCAATCTGCCTAATATAAACGCATAAGTAGCTTGGTAACGGCCATAGGAGTAGTGTCTAAAAATCTGATGGTGTTGCTTTAACCCTTCTTTAATTGGCGGTAAGAAATGATATTTTCCCCTTATTTACTATAATATTTGTAATACAACAAGTAAGGTACATACATTTGTGCATTCAGTTTTTATGAAAACTGCTGTAATAGTAATAAAAAGTGCTTTGTTTACAGAGACACTTTTAGGTTAAATTAAAGTTTTATTAGTTGCCTAGATGGTTAAATTGGTTTTTAGAATTTGATTACGTGTCTCCCAAATACGTTTTAATAAAATATACGGAGAGTACCGCTTAAATTCCTGTCCCGATGTTGAAGGATGGCTATAGAATGTCAATGCATTTCCTACATAAGTCTATCCTTGTTCGGGAGGAGGTTTTCTGCGCTTGCTCGATCTGTAAGCACTTTGATTGGACAGTTCCAAATCATATGATATATGATATGTTTTGTTTTGGTTTTATTTATTTTAAGTTGAGGTTAAAGACGTTCTCTAAAATCTTTCGAAAAATTGGAAGCTTTTTGTTAAATATTCTGAAATCAAATAAGTTTGATAATGTAACATTATGCGCATATTTATCAAACGAGATATTTTAATCGTATCCAACATGTTATGGCAAAACACTTTTTCGACCAAAAGTTTTCAGATATCTTCGATTTAGTTATTTTCGAATGTTTATTTTGTTTATATCTATTACAAACTCAAGGAGCAACAGTTTTTTACAAGTAGTATTAATTTTGATGCTGGTGCAATACTTCTACTCGTAAAATAAGTTTATTATAAATATTACAGACATTTAAAAGAATAGGCTATGGAATAGGTATATAAAAATTATTTTATATCTGTCTCACAATGGGGGGCTCCTAGTAGCGTAATAGGTATCTGCAGTGCGATTCTGTAAACATTTCCCTGTCTAGTGACTCATCAATCGTATACAAATAGCATAGGCTCGATAGGAAATTTCTTGCTACAGAGCTTACAGAATCCCATTGCTGATTTCTAAAATTCTTTTTCTAGATAGGCTTCCCGCATCGTAAAAACTCCTATTTTATGGTATGTAATTAGTATTCTGAAGGTATTAAAATATTTTAATATCAATATAGTTTTTTCACTGAAACTCGAGTTAAATCTTAATATACATTATTCATATTGTCGTTTTAGAGATTGTGCTTTTATACTTACTATTATGAAAATTTACTGAATAAAATATATAGTTGCAATCCTTTTACTGAACTCCTTAATTTCTTGTTTTATGAGGGGATAATTTTTGCTTATTTAGGTACTAATTTTAATCAGACCATTTTTTAATGAACTCATTTATATTTATATCATATCGTTCTAAGTAGACTTTGTTGTGTTAGACAATTATTATTAAATAAAACGAATGAAAAAAAGTGACAGGTACGATATTTTTTTTTTAAATTCAAAAAATAATTTAGTAAAACCACAATTATTAGAAATTGTCTTAAAAACTTCGTAGTACAAATTGCATTATTTCACTTTTTTTAAAATTCAAAAAATAATTTAGTAAAACCTCAATTAAGGAACTGTCTTAAAAACTTTGTAGTACAAATTGCATATCTATTTCACTCGACTTAAAAATTGCAGCAAAACAAAGTATAACAGTACATTTTTTACTGTCTATTGTTTCTTTTACTGCCCATGTATTTATGATCAATAATCAACATCAGTCCTGGTTTAAAATGAAACAAAAGTAATTCTTTATTATTAACATATTTTTTATTAAACAAATATAACGTACATATTAAGTTTATACATAAATCAAGCTAGATACAAAAAATATAATTATTTACATTGTTGCATTGTAAATACTCTTTTATATTATGAAAAAAAAACAATAATAATTTACAATAAGACAGTCTGTGTGAACTGTGTAAGCATTATAATTAGCCTTATGTAGTCTCTATTTTTAGTCTTTACATTATAATGTCATTTTTATTTTAAAATAGTAAGACTAAATATAATGCTTTTAACAATTATTGATTTTTGAATAAAATTAGTTTCGTATATTTTTGTCTTATATTAACATCCCTTTCATTTCTGATTTTGCTTTCATGAAACAAACGAACATCGAGAAAAATTTCTATTATTAATTTGGTTAGTTGGCTTCTACCACACAAAAAGCAGTAGCCCATTCGCATTGTTCTATTAATTAAACTACAGCAAAAGTCTTTAAAACTAAATCACAAAATTGTCAATAAACGCACAAAGATTAAAATACAAACGAAAACACAGTACACGTGGAAAACACAGAAAGTTAGAGAAAACACTAATGGCGACTGCCCAAGTCCAAACTGAAAACAAAACGCCGACGACGCGTCCAAAAATAAATCGATAACCCATCTCGACACCATTCGGCCAATAGAAAAGTAGCATTTCGGCGCATGTGCATTACATCCAGCTACTGAACAAGGATGGACTTATGTCAAACTCGATCTTCTGTCCTTCAATCCTGGGACAAAAATTCTCATTGCTCTTATGGGGAGGCCGCGGTATATGTAAATTTAAATGATGTTTGTGCCTTCTCTAAGAGTACGCACAGTGCGTACCTTAGGTACATACGTTAAAAGCATTTAATTTTTAATATTTTATGCTGTAGACAATTCCAAAACAGTATAATAATGAGCCCGTACAAACGAAAGAGCGATAGAGTACTAAAATTTACGCAAGAAATGTTAAATATGGCAGCCGATAGAATATCAAAGGGAGAGAGTAAAAGATCGGTTGGAAAGGCATTGGGGGGTAAATGAATGTACTCTAAGGAAGAGGTTGCGTGAAGTAATATGTAGGATTACTTTAAAATTTTAAACTATTCCTCGTTTTACTTTTTTTAGGCACTGTTCCAACTAGCTTGGGTAGATTTAAACCAATATTTTCGAAAGCACAAGAAAAAGAATTGGCGGATCATATTCGCGATCTGGAGGCGAGATTTTACGGACTTCGTATGAAGGATGTTAGATCACTAGCTTTTCAATACGCGAAACTAAACCACATTTCTCATAGGTTTAACGAACAAAATTTAATGGCAGGGAAACATTTGGTTAACTCGTACAATTAGAATGCGTACTCTTAGGAATTTACGTGCGAACTCTTAGGGGAATATTCACCAAAGAGTACGCATTTGCATGTTTTTATTTAAACTTAGATATTTTTGTCAAATACATTTTTAAATTACTTTTGGAATGTTATATGTTTAAATTAATGCATGTTTTATAATTTCCTAAATATACTTCAACCTTAAAACGACTTTGTTTCAATGTTATTCAGCAATAAATATTAAGTGCGTACTCTTGCGCTATCCTACCCTATATACGGCTCTTGATACGGTGAAATATGATTTGTCATTCTTAAAATACACCAATAGGATTGCAAAAAAAGACGACGGGCGACGCATGACGGATGCATATAAATTCACCTTTACGGATGCATGTAAGGCTGAGAACATAGTGGAGCGACGAGGATAGCGGCGAGCAAGCAGCGCGACATCGCGTCCAAAACAAACCTGTGAAGACAAGTACGTGCGAACATAGTAAAGCGATCTGCTCGAGCGGTTAGATCGAGCGGCGAGATCGATTCAAATAATTTTGTTTTCGTCGCTCTGTCGCGCTATAAAAAATGTGTGTGATTATTATTAATTTTATTATATTTAAAACTTTCGCAAGTTAATAATATTACAATTTTTTAATGTTGCTATTAGACTTGGATCAACGCAAATTAATAAAATTGCGTTTATCTCATCAAGAAAGCCGAACTTGACAAAATATGAAGAAACAATTAATCAGCATTACACTATTTTGCGAGAAAAATAAGTCAGTGTCGTACATGCTGTTTTTAGAAAAATATTCCAGTGATAACCCATATGCATACTTTTTTAGTTTTAAAATATGTCGCATTTATAGTAACTTTTACCCTCAAAATTTCATTCGAAACGCTAAAAGTAGGTAATTGGAAGAAACTTATAATAAATCAAAAAAATATTAAGATTTCAACACTCTGTAGCTACGAAACGAAGCACAATCGGACCTATGTTGATATGAATCTAATTTTTACGTGAGGAATCTCTCCACGAAAGATTGTACATGTTTTTTGAAACACCCTGTATAATATGAAGTAGAGTTGCCAGATTTTTATACCTAAAAAATCGGCGACGCTCTCGAAAAGAGAAGGTAAATTATAATATACAGGGTGAGTTTTATGCAAATATTTTAGGGATAATATATTTCGACCCCAGAAACACATCTATGAGGGTTTTTTTCGCGAAAAAAATATTTTGAAAATTTGGAATTTTTTGAAAAAAAATTTAGACTTTTTTTAAATTTTTAACTAAAAACATATTTTGATATTTTCATAATATGGCAACATAGGTAGTAGATTAAATTGATACAAGAACAAGAAAGAAAATTCAGAACAGATCTAGTAGTCCTCAAAATTTAAGCAAAATATTATTTTTTTTTAATTTTCGAAGAAAAATATGTCGGTTATTTTGAACTTATTTGAAAAACGGTTCAGAGAAAATGCTTCTTTTATCGAGATCTACCAACCCTGAAAATATTTGCACTTATTTAAGACTCACCCTGTATAGAAATTAGGAACTACCCTAATGCAAGGTAAACCAATGCAATGCAAAAGCAGTTATTTAAGACTCGCCCTGTATAATGTCAATCTCATAACTAAAGTGTTTTGACACTGGTTCAATAAGCTGTGTTTTTCACGCAATACAGGGTCCGGCAATAGTGCGTCGGGCATCTGTAGCTCCTAGAATACAAAAATTAGATTAACTAGGATGTATTTCAGGAAAATATTTTAACTTCTATAGGGTGGCTCAAAAAAGTGTGAGGCGATCGAGATGATTTTTTTTAAATGGAACACCCTGTATATTATTGCATTTTTGACTTCCTTTCATATCACTTTACATAATGCTAAGATATGTGCAAATATGTTTTGATAGTTTCAGAGATATTAATAAATAAATAAAAAATATATATTTTTCAGCCTTTCTTAAAAAAAATATTAAAAATACAACTGTCCTGAAATCAAAAATCTATTAGGTATTTATTTTACATGGTCTGTACTTATTTTACTATAAATATGGTAATCGTAAACCATACAGGATGTTCAAAATTCGACGCTAAACTTTCTAAAATATAAAATAATTTTTCTTTGTTTTTTTTTTAAATGGAACACCCTGTATATTATGTTTTCAATAGATGGAGAATTAAAAAATGAACATTTCTTTTATTTAGAGTATTTCAAAATTTTTAACGGTTTCACAGATATTCGCGGTTTTATATTTCATATGGCATTTTCCACAGTAAATTTTTATCAAAGCCACCCAACTATTATTTTTCTCTCGTATTTTACCGTTGAAAGAGCCATAAGAAATAATACTGCGTGTATCAGCGAAACCATTAAAAATTTTGAATTACTTTAAATACAAAAAAAGTCATTTTTTAACTCTCCATTTAATAAAAAAATAATATACAGGATGTTCCATTTAAAAAAATAAAGAAAAATGATTTTGATGAAATTTTGGAAAGTTTGACGTAGAATTTTGAACATCTGGTATGATTTAAGATTATGATATTTATAGCAAAGTAAGTATAGACCATCTAAAGTAAATACCTATTATAGTTTTGGTTTCAGGGCAGTTCTTGTATTTATACCTAATAACTTTTTTAAGGAAGGTTGAAAAATATATATTTTTATTTATTTATTTTTATTAATATCTCTGAAATTATCAAAATCTATTTACTCATATCTTAGGATTATGTAAAGCGATCTGAAAGGAAGCCAAAAAGCAAAAATATACAGGGTGTTCCATTTAAAAAATAATAAATTATCCCTATCCACGCACACTTTTTTGAGCCACCCTATAGAAGTTAAAATATAAACTTTGCTTTAGGTTTGCATTTAAATAAAATTCCCATAGTTTTTTATTCTAGGAGCTACAGATGCCCGACGCATTATTGCCGGACCCTGTATAAGCCGTATCAGCCTCAGCTTCATAAATCCGTAATTTCCGTGTCGTTGGCAACACCGTATAGTAGGTAATATAACTACTTACGTTTAATTTGAAGTATTTCTCCTATTTCTTTCCACGCATCATCTCGAAGTTGATTGTCACTATATCTGTAGTCAGTCATATCATAAATATAGGTATATCCTCTGACTAATTCGATTAACTTTAAGTTATTCATTTGCTCAAAAATGTTTTGCCGTCTGTACACGCACGTTCGCTGTATTCATATTCTTACTAACCGGCAACCGCACTGATCACATAGACGTTTACGGACTTGCGCGACACAGACACGTACCGGTACCGACAAAATATTCTCGGCGGAAATTCTGGCCGTTGTAGTCCGGTCAAATTGTGCTCAAAACGTTCTTAGTGGGAACTTTTTTGGGGTAGTTATTACTTCTATTCTTTATATTTTTTGGAGGGTTGAATCCAAAAATGAGGTTTTACCAACAAAATCTCGTAACAGAACATTCAGAACATTGAAAACATTGCAGAAAATGCCAAAAATCTGTTTTGGCGATTTTTTTGTTTATTTTTTAAAAACTGTCAATACTTGTATATTGTATAGAAAAACAATGACTTTACTGACAACCAGTTAAAATGTTTTTAAAGATCTCCAATTATACCATGCAGATCAAGATTTTCGAAACTGAAAACTGATGATATGGATTGATATTTCATGAATTTAGTCCGTGAACAAACTCAAGGGGACGATGTTTTGTGTTTATAATGTGCTAAATATTAAGGTGCATTTAGACATGAGCACGCATCAGCTGAACGTACGCGCACGGCATTCGTTCGCGCTCTCGGCTTCGTTTAAATTAAAAACTTAGTTTCCGACGAATGTAGTGATCCACTTGTGCGCGCACAGCAGAGTTGTGTTGGTGAAATCGATAGACGACCAAAAGATAGTTGCGGCCAGGGGGGTGACAGTGAAATAGGAAAATTGGAAACAGTCATTAGTGTCATTCCTGTCATTCTCCTCACGACAAGTATGGCCGCCTAGACAAGGACAGCATTGTTTTTGTCTAACTATTGTCTAACTTCACAGTTTAGAATTGACAGATTTCAGTTTCAGAGACAACTTCAGATTTGTTCTAGAACAAATTCGAAAATATTTGACGCCATTTTAATTCATTCCGTTTAGTTTCGTTTTGGAAGTTCAATTTAATATTTCGGCTGAAATTTATAAATATAAAGGTAATAAAGTATATAAATATATATTACATGAAGAATCCTGGAGAAAATGACGTTTCTGCAGTAGTAGGTATGTCGGTAGTCCCATGTATATGAAAAATAAGTAGTAAATAAACACTGTTTTTACATTTTTTAGATGCAAGAAAATGGTGTTATAATCTCTTTGATCGGCGATTTTTTTGAAAATGGAAACAATTTACAGCAAGGTAAGATCATTTTTAACTATAGCTAACATTAGTTATCTCCAATATGTGCGATTTATTGTCAATAATGCAATAAATCGGACTGATAATCTGATTATGTTATCTGACTAAAAGTCTTTTTTTGCATCTTTTTGATTTATAAGCCAGGTTCTTTGGGAATAATGGACGCTTTTTTTAAACAGTATATTTATATTTTATACCTATTGATATTTTTACATTGTTAATTTTAGTATAAAAAATTGTTTTTCTGTTTTCAGGTTTTTGTATAAGGCTCCCGTTTTCATGTTCCTGTGACCGTTTTCTGTCCTTGAAGTTTGCGAATGCGTGTGTTTATTTACAAATTACTGTAAGTCATGCTTTACCTTAATGTAGTTTATGTAGAGGGTGTAGTTTATGTAACCTATGTAGGTAACTTTCAAATATCAAAGGTTTGAGGTGAGGTTATAATAAGTTGCAGCTTTAAAAACACATAATGTATTTAAGAAAACAGAAGAAATATGGCTTTAAATATAATATTTACATCATATTATCTCTATTACACCTTATACAAAGGAAAATTATTCATAATATTCATAAATAACATTAATTTAACTAATTAACATTATTAACGTAGTTTTGATGTAGTTAATGAACGGGAAAAGACGTAGTTTTTGAAGAAAAATTACACGTAGTTAATCAGGTAAATTACGTCTTAATTAACTACTTCCAAACCCTGGTTGACACTTCTTTCTAGTTAATTATTTTATGGTTGCGGCTACATTCATTGTTATGCACAGATTAATTATACACTCACCGGCAAAAAAAACCGGCCACTAAAAACTAGTCCCAATTTCAGAGTTGGATTTCTCGCGAACCACTCATTAGATTTTGATGATTTTTTTTAAATTGCAAATTAGTTCCTTCTTGCAGCAGCTGTAGTAGCTATTGCTAACAAATCACATTGTAGCCTCATCTTTTGTGAGCATTTTGTTTTTTTTTAATCACGACATTATCTCTGTTTGTATTGGAGATACGCTGCTTTAAAACGAACGTCTCGGAAAAATGTTTTGCATGCAAAACCGCGACCAAACCAATTCACATGTAAACGCGCCAACTGAAGACGTGCTCGACGATGTCTTGGAAGTAGCTGGGGTCCTGTGGCAGGCCTCCTTGCAGACAAGCTGTTTTCTTTTAGTCTTCATTGGATTGTTCTCTCACTGACTTGAGTTCTACGCACGGTTTGTAGCAGATAATGATTCTGAAACGCTGTAATTCTACGATTTCGTAAAGTATTCAGGACAATAAAGCTGTCGTCAATTGCATTTATTTGTCTCCCGTTTTCTTTCGGAACCCACTCGCCTGGTGAAATTTCCCGTTTTCATATACCGATTCCAGGCATCCTGGACCGTTGTTCGAGGTATGCCCACGGTATCGGACACATAACGTTGACTTCGGCCATCCTCAATTAAAGCCACAATACGAGTAACATCCGTCACAGATAATGGCATTTTTTAATTTGACAACCGTTGTTGTCATATTGCAAATACTCATAAATCCGTTTTCGCCGATGTCGCGTCGCCTTGATTATATTTACACATAAAACTTTCTGCATGCAAAGCAATTGAGTTCCGAGACGTTCGTTTTAAAGCAGCGTATCTCCAATAAAAAGAGAGATAATGTCGTGATTAAAAAACAAAATGCTCACAAAATATGAGGCTACAATGTGATTTGATTTAGCAATAGTTACTACAGCTGCTGCACCCTACAGGGTGTTACAATGTTTGGGCATAAAACCTCGTCTTATTGTTGTGCCCTGTATATGCTCAATATAAATTCGGAATACACATTTCTGACGTAGCATCCATTAAAAAGGAATTAATTTACAATTTAAAAAAACATCATCAAAATCTAATGAGTGGTTCGCGAGAAATCCAACTTTGAAATTGGGACTAGTTTTTAGTGGCCGTTTTTTTTGCCGGTGAGTTTATAAAAAAAGGAAAAATCGAAAACCTCGTCCCTGGTGGCAAACCCAATTTTTAAAAATCGATATATCTTATTAAACAACTTATTGTCTGGGGAGGACTATGATTAGTTCAAAAACTTTACGAGAATGGCCAGACCCGACTTTGAATATTTAGTAAATTTAATTACACCAAAAATTACGAAAAAAGATAAACATTTTAGAATAGCAATATCGCTCAGAAAACGCTGAGCCTTGACTTGACGTTTCTTGGCAAGTGGAGACTCTTATAGCAGCCTACAGTATCTTTTTAAAGTTTCTAAATCTTCCATCGCCTATATTATTCCGAAATAGCGACTGTAGTACTGTAGGTAAATTTCTGGGGTTTATATCGGATGAAGGTAGAAGCAGATGATGGAGTATTAGTAGATGTATATTCTGAAATAGTTATATCAGACGTACTTGGAAAAGTAAGTTCGTGATAGGAGCTGGTGTCAAGCTGGGGCGTTTGTAGGGGAGAGACTGTGGAAATATTATTACATGGAGAAAACGACTTTTCATTTTTTGTGCTTCATTAATATCGATATGTTGAATAATTTATTTTATTTGCAAACTCTTGCCATGCGATATTTTTTTTGGTTTTTGAATAATACGCAGAATCTCATAAAATCTCAAACCAAACACCGCTAACAGCTAGAGCCCAAACGGTTAGTCTGAGAAGAGAATACAAACAATTGAATCTGTAGAAAAATATTTGTGCTTATTTATTTTGAATAGACAAATTATTTCCAAAAAGTGTTTTACAAACAAAAAAAAAGCAAAACAAAACATTTTTTTTTTTGCTTTTTTTTTCTTTTTCCTTTAATGTTCTGTCGCGAAATGTTATTGGCAAATATTATATTCCGATTCAGCGATCCAAAAAACATAAAGAATGATAGAAACTCAAACTACCCTAAACCTTACCAACAAAAAATCCAATTTGACTAGACTATTGCTGACTGGTGTATTGACGGACCGGACGGGCCCGTAGAGCGTACAGCTCAAGGTCGGCGCACATTATCAATATACACGATTCGTTTCCGGACCGTAACGCCACGGAATATACATGGGGTGTAAATTCTGTGCAATGGCAACAGAGAAAATTATGTTGTGGTAGCGCTAGGCGTCGGCGATGCGGGCGACGGACGTGGCTGACAAAAAAATACGTTTCCAGTCATAATAATAATGTAATAATGCGTAAAACATTCATTTCACTAGTAAGTAATTATACATACAAACCAATCAATTATAAAATTTATTTAGAGTAAAATAATTACTTCATATTTAGAATTAACTAATTAGGTAGGTTTTATCTTTGCATTTTCGCATTTATTTCCTACTTGTGAAAAATAATTCGGGGCCTAGCAAAGATGTCGCCGACCCTTGGTCGCCGACAACGTCCACATTTCGTCTAGCGCCGCCACTGATTCTGCAGTATCGTTTTGATACCGAAAAATATTATTTAGTAGTTTTAATAGTAACTAATTCCCTATGTCACAGGCACGTATCGTATCGTATACAGGGTGGCGCACCTCATTCGCCTCAGTTGATTATACAAAAACGGAAAGATGTAGAAACAAAATATTTTATGGGTATGCGTGAGGAGGCAATGTGAATGCAATTTAAATTTTTTTTGAAATATAATGTACAGGGTGTTTCTGAACTAAGATCTATACCAAAGATATATTTTTCCTTATGGAACACCCGGTATTTTATTTCATTTTTGGATTCTTGGACCCAAAAAAAGGCATTTTAGGCCAGTCGGCAAGTGCATCGATGGCGGGAGCAAATCCGGACAAGCTGGAATAAGTTTTATTTTGTTTAGTTTGGTGTCGAGAAGCACGTATTAAATTTCCACTCACCGTAAAGCCCGAATTTGGCCGCCATCTTGGAAAAATTGGCTAAAATTCGGTTAATTTTTTTTTATTTGTCAATAACTCGATTTCTATCAACTTTAATGCAAAATATGTAGAGCCCGATATTAAAGAAGAGGAAAAATTCTATAAAAAACGTTGAATGTTTTTTTTTCGTGCGACTACCCAAAGTATCGAATTTTACGAAAACAAAATTAAAGTTTGATATAATGTACGTGTTCAATATATCCGGGGTTAACTGTACTTGTTTCCACACCACCTTGAGCGGCACCCCCGAGACATAAAGCCTTAAAATTTGTTTGCTACTGGTTGGCAGTAGCCTGCTGTCGCCGTCATAATGGAAGAACACAATTTGCATTATGACCGCAATAACGGACTAAATTTTTATTGTTGCGCGACTGGTGGAAAATCAAGTTTAACCGCCTTATCTCTCAGGGAGCTGCCTTGAGGTAAAGTACCCGGCGCGTTTTTTTTGAGTGGTCTCCCCATTTCAAATAGGCCTAATCCACATGTCATCAACTTAGGTTTCTTTTGAGGTGGAAGTTTCATCAGAGTTCCTTCGTTTTTTTGATGTTACTGACTGTTCAATATAATCTTCCTGAATGTCTTCCACATCTGTATCATATTCCGGATCTGGTTCATAAGGTGCAGAATATTCTTTTCGTTGATCTTTATCGAGAGGAAAATTGTCCTTGTGCTCATCTTCGTCTAATTTTGCTATTACCTCCAAACTATTCGAACATGATTTGCCCTGACAAAGTGCACACATTACCAAGCAGCGCAAACCTGCTTTGCGGCAACTACAAGATGTATTACAACCTTTGGCACATTTACATGAAATCAGATTTAATAATTCTTGGGGAGCTGCATCTTGGGAAGTAGCAATGCGCATCAACCCATTCTTTGAATTTTTCCATCCCCAATCCAGAGGTGATTTTTCATTCCCATACCATAGCTGTACCTGACTGTACGTACGGAAGGAGTGCATGAGAGCTGCGTCTTTGGTCGATGGTAATGATGCTAGGTTTGGTAAGCTTTTGGTAATAGATTTTACGAAACACTGGTATCTGTACTTATCTAATGAGTCGCATTTTTTGGATCCATATAGATGAAGAAGAAATCGTTCTCCAGCTTTTTCTATATCTTCTGGAGATGCGTTTGCAACAAGTTCTTTTTGCAACCAATAACAGACGACTACTATTTAATTGTGTCTCCAGCAGTCGAGCAGCGTCGAAAACTGCCTAAGAGGAAATAATAACTGCTTATAATATATTTAGAGTGTTTAAACCGAGATAACTTGGCAACGGGTCGTCGCACGGAAAAAGGACATAGAACGTTTTTTATAGAGTTTTTCCTCTTCTTTAATTTTGGTCTGTACATTTTTTGCACTAAAATTGATAGAAATCGAGTTATTGACAAATAATGAAAAATAAACCGAATTTTAGTCACTTTTTCCAAGATGGCGGCCAAATCCGAGTTTTGGGGATGGTGCAAATTTAACACGTGGTTAATTAAAATAAAATTTATTCTAGCTTGTCCGGATTTGCTCCCGCCATAAGCTATTTTTTAATACTTGGCGACTGGCCTATTTACTATAAGGGTTACATATTATGTTTAAAATTGTTGGTTTTTGAGATATTTAAAGATATTTAAATATGCATGCTACAATAAAATAGATTTTCAACACCTTGTAGGTACATTACTTTTCAGAATTAATTCTTGTGCTGAGTTTAAAGGTAGAGAAATAAACTTTACTGAAAAATTTTATTGCTTCCTTAAATTTATACAGGGGTACCAACAATTTCTGGTCTATTTTAAGTATTTGTTTTACACAAAAACTTTATTGTTATTTCAAAAAAAAAATTGCTGGTCTTAAATATTTATTTTACATAAAAACTTCGTTATTACAAATACACCCTGTATTTTTTTAAATAAATCGAAGCAGATTTAAATGCTCTTTCAAACTATATTAGGGTTTCCGGGGTTTCCTATACCTATCTAACTCAGATTTTGAATAAAAAACGATTTTTCAATAAAATGGCAATCAAGATGGCTGCTGTCGCCAGGGCAATTTTCTAGTGACAGTTAGTATTAACAGTTATGGTATGGGAATGACATTAGTAAAGTAAAAATTTAAAATAGACCAGCATTTTTGATACTCCTATATACATTAAACGAAGCAATTAAATTTTTCAGTAAAGTTTATTTCTCGGCTTAAAGTAAACACAAGAATTAATTCTGAAAAGCAATTTACAGGGTGTTGACAATTTTTTTATTATAGCATGCATATTTAAATATCTCAAAAACCAAACCTTGTAAACATATTTAACCCTTATAATAAATGCCTTATTTTGTGTCTAAGGATCCAAATATGAAATAAAATACCGGAAGTCCATAAGAAAAAATATAACTTTTAATGTGGATCTTAGTTCTGACATACCCTGTACAGGGTGGGTCAAATTCGACGCTTTTAAATGGAAACACCCTTTTCTATAGGAGATAGACAAAAACTAATATCGGTGTCTGGAGCTCAATTTTTGTCAAAAACATGATGGTGAAAACCGCATATCGATATCTGTTACAGTTTCGGAGTTACGAGGTGTTTTTCAAAAATATGCATTTTTAACAAATCGCTGTAACTTTTTTCCTATTGAAAATTTCCTATTTTTATGAAAACATTTCCGAAGCACCTTTTTACAAAGAATTTAATGGTTTACGTATAATTTTTTTACAATTAATAATTTAAGAATTATCAACAGAAAATTTGATTTTTTATATGGGATACCCTGTATATTTTTAATTTATTGAAAAGAATTTAAAATTACCTTTCCAAAAATATAACACACTTGATATTTTGCTCGATTCGTCTTAGTATATAAAAATTCGCCCGCTTTAAATAAGTAGGCTTTGAACGGCACCGGCTGTAATGCAAAAAAAATTTAGCTGTGAGCATCAATTAAAACGAAATTAATATTTGCTATGAGAGATGCAGAATTTTATAACAATTTAAAATATATTTAACTAACATCAACACATTTAAACTATGTATATCTGATAACAATAAAATAAATAGCAAACCAAGACATGAGATTTTGCTACAGGTGTTCGACATATCAACCGTCTTCTGTTATGGACAGACGGGGCAGTTTTTGAACATTTCTCGCGGAATTCATTAACTCATTGGGGGTGAAAGATACCCTCTCATAACTGCTAAGTATTTCTAATTCTTGTCTAGATTATACGGAAGAATAAGGAACCTTTATTCTTCCTCAAATATATCCATAGGGTTAGATCCAAGGGCACTAAGTCAGGCGGCTTCGACGGCCAACGGCTGGGATCTTGGTTAGCTGTTCAATTATTCTTGAAATTGGCTGCAAAAATTGGCTGATAACTTCAGCGTTCAGAGGCGGTGCGTCGTCTTGCTGGAAAAATGTTTTTGAGTTCCATTAAGGACATTTCATCAATAAGGGGTTCAAAGCCTACTAGTTAAAAGTGGCGAACTTTTAAAAATTCTGTATTTCGAAGGGGATTATAACAAAATATCAAGTGTGCTATATTTTTGGAAAGGTAATTTTAAATTCTTTTAAGTTAATTAAAAATATAGAGGGTGTCCCAAATAAAAAATCAATTTTTCTGTTGATAACTCTTAAATTATTAATTTAAAAAAATATGTACTTAAACTATTAAATTCTACGTAAAAAGGTGCTTTGGAAATGTTTTCATAGAAATACAAAATTTTCCATAGCAAAAAAGTTACAGCGATTTGTTAAAAATGCACATTTTTGAAAAACACCCCGTAACTCCGAAACGGTAACAGATATTGATGTGCGGTTTTCACCATCATGTTTTTGATAAAAATTGAGCTCCAGACACCGATATTAGTTTTCGTCTATCGCCTATAGAAAAGGGTGTTTCCATTTAAAAGCATCGAATTCGACCCACCCTGTACATTTCAATATAATTTTAACTTATGCACATTGCCTTCCCACATATACCCATCAAATATTTTGTTTCTAAATCTTTCGGTTTTCGTATAATCAACCCTGGCGAATAAGGTGCGCCACCCTATATATCGAATAATATACAATATACCGTATGATCGAAAAAAAACGGCGTCCAGATGCATTCCCCATATAATTTTACATAAAATGACAGCGATCTTAATTTCATAGCCATCGCTGACGCCGTTTTTATTCGATCATAAGGCACTTACTAGGCACTTACTAAATACGAAATAAAAATTAAATGAAAATATATTAATTATTCAAATATGTACTTTTATTTTGTTTTCTTTTAATTTTTTATACTCTTTATATGTTGATCAGCGATAGTTTTAATTTGCTTCTCAGCGTTATTTACGAAGCCGTGAAGCATTTTGATACAGTCCGATATAATTTTTTCACTATATTTTATTAGTTGTTTTAAGCTGCTCTCTAAATCCGTAGCACGATTTCCTAACTGGCCCTTGACTGCGTCGAACGTCTTTTCCATCGCATTTCTGGCTATCCCCCAGGACTCGTTTAGGGTTTTCGTCGCATCATTTTCAGCGTTCTTTAAAGTTTCAGTATATGCTTTCACCATCTTATTAATTTCAGTTTTAGCATCCCTAAAATAATAATGAATGTAGTATAGTCCATAAGTAGGAAAGTCCCGACAGTCTTTGGTCAGGCTTGGTGCATTTCCGTTGATTTCAACAAATTCCGACCGCAGCGCTTCAACGGCAGAAATCAGAAATTATCAGTATGTATTTCACGCTGCCGTCCCGGTTACAGTTCGGTCAATGTTGATCGCATTAAAATAATATTGAAATCGCGTGGCTTTGTCATAATATTTAAGTATTTTAGTTTTTTGCTAGTGCAGTTATTGAGACTATAAAACACTCATGTACGAAGTTTATGTGATGTACCTAACGCTGTTTCGGGTAGTAAAAAATAAGTGAAAAAGAATTTGAACTAGTCGTCGTGTTGTGACAATTTCAAAAGTTAATAAAATTGCCAAAAAATGTTAAAGCGTAAAGAAGTCATTGGGTGTTGTTGGGTGCAATGACATTCAATAACTCAACTTCCCCGGATATTCAACTCTCCCGAAACATTTTATAGCTTCATAGTTTCTCACACCGATTTGATCAAAAGCAAAAATGGATTCAACAATTTGACGAAACAAATGAGTAAACAAAGTGCTCGTTACATAATCCAAAAATTAAATAGACATTCTAGGAGAGGATAAAATATAATTTGCAATATTAATGGTATACTTTTTCTAATCGACTAGTGATTAAATGTTTTATGAACATCTTCTAAAATTATAATTATGTACCTTTAAAAATGTTCGTTATAGCCGAAATAGCCCCAATTATGACCCCACTAACAAAACCGGTGATTAAAACTATGCTCGCCACCGTAGTTGAATCTAAAAAGTTTTTTAGCTGGAATAATAAATTATAATACAAGTTAGACCTACTGAAGATATCAAAATATTTACTTTTTTATTTTTAGAATTTTCACAAATTAACTAATCTTAACACTTTTAGAATAATTATATAAGAAAAATTTCGTATACTCGCTACTTAAATCTGTGTGTTGTCGTTATGCACCGCATGTTATAATGTCAAATAAACCATATGCGAAAATGTCAAAAGTTGACATATGATATGTCATTCTATTCAGAGTGTCATCGAATAAAGTAAAAAAATACCGAGGGTAGTCTTTGAATATAAAGACTTCTAGCACTAAGAAAGAATAAATACTAAGTATTATTAATACTAAATATTTATTCTTTAAACTGTGCTTATAGTCTTTATATTCAAAGTTTTTATAATCAAAGAGGGTAGTCATTTCCGGTGAAACCGGAAGTGACCGAAAACAATTAAATATGTCAATCAATCCTAATGTATGTCATATGCTAACACCAAATCTCGTTTTATCTGAAAAAATAAAAAAGTTATAGGGGTGAGCCACTTTTGAGACGCACCCGGTATGTGAAGGAGCTCATTTATTAATATTGCAATCGATTCCAGCACCGGCACCGGTACCGATTTTGCCGGTATGTGTGAAAGCGCTCTAAGATGAGACCAAGTTAAAGAGGTGGAGAAAATAAGGAAAAATTCTCGAGTCTCCACCTCATGGGTACCTCAGCCGAAGACAAGCTCCTCGACTGTGAAGAGCACGGAGGGCCAAACCCCAACCGTGGAAGGCAGTATACTCTCGGAGGAGGTAGATGTCCTCTCCACGGAGGAAGAAGTTCTGTTGTGAGATGATGGGAAATACCCCCTACAAGAAAATCCAGATATAAAATCAGTTATAATTTAAGAACGGAGGACACAATACAATAGATATTTAAGGCCACGGTGATCCCCCCTCCTCATTCTAAATTCTAAACTGAAATCTCCCAGGCCACTTCAAAATGTTCGTACAACACTGTTTATATGTAAAAGATTGTTAATTAAAACACGTTTTAAGGCCAGTCAGTTACTTGCATCCTGAATTGCAAACACCAGCTAATTATTTATTCTTGGCTTTAGGTCGTTGGGGTTGTAAAGATTGGATTTTGTTTATTATTTTATTTTTATCGACGACGTTTCGACAGTAGTTAAAGTAGATTCCTACAGAATTAAAATTATGAAAAACTGCAGAAACACACAATAACACATATTAAAACTATTATTTTATTTGTTTAGGGACATCACATTTTAGTATACAGCACGCAGACCGTTTTGTATAAAACATTTTAGCAATCAATAGCGGATGTCTGCTATTTTCTGTTTTATATATTATTTAATAGGTATAAATACTTTTATAACTCTTACTTCTCATGTTTTTTAATTTCTTGACAGTTACGGTCTAATTCTTGAACAATATTATCGATCTGTATTTTAGTCTGTTCCGTTAGTCTTTTCAAATTTTGTTCCATTTCAGATTTTCCCTTTTCAAACATTTTATTTGTTTCTTCCAATATAGCGTTGATCGCACAATTAACTGCATTTTCGTCATTCTTAGCCATGCCGGAAGTTCTTCGAAAATTAACAAAATAAGTCTATACCTTACCCAAAAGATTCAAAAACATATTTTATATGAAATTGACTATGAATTTTGAACATGACTTGATTCCTTTTAATATTGTCATCATTGGCTATGTCAAAGATGACTGTATAACCCCTACATTGTCATACTACCTTAGAATACCTATTTTTTCAAATAAGGTTTTCATCATTGTTATACAGGATGAGTCAGTTATAAGTGCAAATATTTTCAGGGCTGGTAGAATGTAGAACGTTTAGGAGAGGAGTTAATCACTGCGACCTTACAGATCTATTGTGTGTTCCTCTTTCTTGAGTTATAACGAATTATAACTCATCATACAGTCTCAAGGCTTTAACAAAAGCCAATATCTGAGACGGCTCCACAAAGGCCAACTCTCCTTCCTCGACATCAGCCGTACCAAAGTTCATGGCACGAACGGTCGTCGCGTCGTCTCGGCGCACTCAGTCATAAGGTGTTCTGGTGTTTCCTCATTTTCCCTACAAAATCTGCATTCGCCGTTGTTTCTCAGCTTCAGCCTACTGAGGCGTTGGTTGAGGAGATAGTGTCGTGTTAGTTCAGTCATTGGGGATCAAAAAAGGAGTCTGCTTGGAAAAAAGTCCGGAAGTTTTGAAACTTTGCAGGTTTACAGGTTTTGGGGTCCCTAACTAAAATCCATAAAATGCACATTTCCAGACTTGCCGCCGGCACCGCCATCTTGCCAAGATGGCGCCCTAAATTGGTATTTTGTGAATATCTCAAAAACTATGGGTTTATCGCGAAAATTTGAGGAGAGCAAAATTAAAGAGAATAAAATTTCCTATAAAAAAGGTTTCATGAAAATTTTCGCTGAAGTCCACAAAATCCCTGGAAATTTTACAATTTTGCGTAAAATATGATATATTATGTATAGTCGATTTTCCGAAATCAAATGTCGATTAGGGTTCACTAAAACTAGTTTTAGTTTAGTTTCTTCAATTTTGTCATGAAACAGTGGCGTATCATTAATTCGCTCATTAATTTATGAATAATTAATTGTCGTGCTGGACAGCATTCATTGCTTACTTACCACCAGATTCAGCATTGGTCTGGTTGTACAAAAGATGCCGAAGAATGGGGTTGGAAGAAAACAAAAACAGGCATTACTCCAGTCACAACGTTGGAAGATCCAGCTCCAAAATCCCTGTTGGCATTTTTATCCTGTAAATGCAAAACCAACAACTATGGTAAAGCCTGCGGATGCAGAAAAGCAGGATTAAAATGTTCAATGATTTGTGCATACTGCAATGGGAAATCCTGTGACAAAGTCACTGAAGTGTCACTCGACGAATCCGTTGAAGAGGAGTTGGACTTGCCTGTAGATATCCCTTTGGCGGCTGAAGATGAAGAGTTGGACGTATTGAGAGACCACCCTGATGAACCCAGCACAGCAGACACGAACGACTTTGACATCAATGAGCCAGATCCGTCGGTCTTGTGCAGATAAGTTAAAGTTTTTAATTTATCTAGTGGAGTAGGCCTCCGGGGAGACCACGTTAAAATAAACGCGCCATATACTTTACCTCTTGGGTGGTGTGGAAACAAGTACACATTTTCAATAATTAAAATTAATTATTCATAAATTCATGAGCGAATTAATGATACGCCACTGTTTTATGACAAAACTGAAGAAACTAAACTAAAACTAGTTTTAGTGAACCCTAATCGACATTTGATTTCGGAAAATCGACTATACATAATAAATCATATTTTACGCAAAATTGTAAAATTTCCAGCGATTTTGTGCCTAAACGGTTGACTTTAGCGAAAATTTTTATAAAACCTTTTTTATAGGAAATTTTATTCTCTTTAATTTTGCTCTCCTCAAATTTTCGTCAAAAACGCATAGTTTTCGAGATATTCACAAAATACCGATTTTGGGCGCCAAGTCTGGAAATGTGCATTTTATGGATTTTAGTTAGGGACTCCAAAACCTATAAACCTGCAAAGTTGCAAAACTTCCGGACTTTTTTCCAAGCAAAAATCCCCAATGACTGAACTATGTTAGAAACCCCGTGACAATCCGAAGATCTTTGATTTTTCTCGGTGAGGAACTTGTTTCAGTGTCTTAGACCGTTGGAGGACTCGCATTCCAGGTTACGGATGGAGTCTTCAAGGTTCTTCAGTTCCGCTTTTAGTTGGTTTCCGCTTGGAAAACAGAACGGTTCTAGGTCCAGTTCGTGGAGTGTTCGCTCCTTTTCTAGCTAGATCATTTGCTTTTTCATTGCCTTCTATCCCTTGGTGAGCAGGCACCCAGAGTAGGAGGACTTTATTTTCTTTGCCTAATTTCTTCAGCTTCTCTAGGCATTCTTTGACCAACTTCGAATTTATAGTTTCACTTCAAAAATATATTTTTGACTTTTTACTATTATTTGCAGAACAGTAAAGGAAAATATTGTATTAGGTATTATCACAGTTGAGAGTTGAAACCTTTGGTGTTACAACAGCAAAATAAAACACTAATTCACCACAATACACCAAAACACTTTACTTTTGCACTGGACGCGCGTTTCACTAACTTGGCACAAATACGTAAGAAATCATTTTGTAACAACTTTTATCCTCGACTATTTTGTCACCCAACCCCATTTTTTGCAAGTTAAAAAAGTTTTGTAATTTGTTGGTCTTTTTTTTCATTGTTGTACGCCAAAGAAATTACGCATATATTTTTAAAAAGCAATAAAAAATTCTCAGGTTATAAACTTTTTGGCAGACTATATTAATTTAATTCTTATACGGGTCTAAAGCGTTCTGTTAAATGCAAGGAATAAAAAATAGCCTATTTACTACGTCGTTCAGTCGCATATATTTATGATACAAAAATCAGTGTCTTTCTATAAAAAAAATATAATAGAAACAATACACACCAAATCAATGTTTGCGAACTAAAAACTATATTTCACAAGATGACCTATATTATTAAGTTACATAACACTATAATATATAATATATTATAATATATTATTATAATATATTATAATATATTATTATAATATATTATAATATATTATTATATATAATATGTTATATATAATAAAACACTAATTCACCACAATACACCAAAACACTTTACTTTTGCACTGGACGCGCGTTTCACTAACTTGGCACAAATACGTAAAAAATCATTTTGTAACAACTTTTATCCTCGACTATTTTGTCACCCAACCCCATTTTTTGCAAGTTAAAAAAGTTTTGTAATTTGTTGGTCTTTTTATTGTTGTACGCCAAAGAAATTACGCATATATTTTTAAAAAGCAATAAAAAATTCTCAGGTTATAAACTTTTTGGCAGACTATATTAATTTAATTCTTTTACGGGTCTAAAGCGTTCTGTTAAATGCAAGGAATAAAAAATAGCCTATTTACTACGTCGTTCAGTCGCATATATTTATGATACAAAAATCAGTGTCTTTCTATAAAAAAAATATAATAGAAACAATACACACCAAATCAATGGTTGCGAACTAAAAACTATATTTCACAAGATGACCTATATTATTAAGTTACATAACACTAGATATAAATTAAGTTAAACAAGATATTTCATTTAATACAATAGAAAAAAGATTACTGGACCATACCGCCTACTAATCTAAGAAATAAGTCATTACAAATTCGCTGTTAGGCTTAGTGATAAGGTGTGGAAACTGTAATCCTAAAACTATCTCGATCCTATATTTTTACATGTTATGTCCAGGCTCAAAAGAAAAAAAATCAAATATTTACAACCATCCATTTCTGTGAAATGAACCTAAATAAACTGATTCAAATCATTCTGAAGATTTTTATATGTTTGCGCTAGCGCTTCTTTGACAATTATTCACCTTAAACCATTTATATCTGATACTGGTATCACCCCTTACGTATTATATACACTATCGTCAATCTTATCAATTTATAGGGTTTTTTGTAAGCACAGTGTGTCCTTAAGAAGCTGGTTTCTGAGCTGCCAAAGGGCCGCCACTACGTTGTCGTGCTGGTCGCTCTTTCTTCCTAGCCACGTGGTCACTTGGGCGAGTTTTTCTGGATCGGGATTGCATGTTTCCGGGGTAGCGTGAAGTGTTCTTTCCCAGTTAGTAATGTGCCTTTGTTCGGTGTTTAATCCTTCAATATACCTAGAAAAAAAAATAGTAATGAAGAACTGAACAAAATTTATGTGTTTAACGTTTTAATCTATTTGAGGATACCAAAACAAAGTTTGTTAGTGTATTGTAGAAAAATTTGATATTTTTCTGGACACGTTTAATTCATGTAAGTGCATGTAAGCGGTCAAATTTACTTTATAATGTAAAGAAAAATAAATAAATAAAATTGTAATAATAGTATATTGTTTTATTAGGAGTAAAGCTTGATTTTCATGCATCCGTTGTCCGACGATACGTTGATACGATATTAATTTTATTAGTAGAAATTAAAGACTTTGATTGGTTAGAAAATAACGCAGTTTTTAAATTTATTGCATTTTCATGCCTCCGTTTATCGGATATACGTTGGTGTTATTTTATATTTTCGTTTCCATAACGATTTTGCTATTTTACTTATATTTTTATTATTGTTAGATTAAATTTGTCAGAAAGTGTCAAAACGTCCGTTATCGTATGAACGGGTCCGTTGACGGGCTGAAGTAAAATATTTACGGATGAAAAGTGGCGCGAAAACGCTATGACCAATCAGAGCACCGTCGGACCAACGTATAACGGCGGTATAACGGATGCATGAAAATCAAGCTTAAAAATTACAGTTTTTATGGCGATGCTGTACGTTTGACATACAGGCGAGGCACAAAAAGTCATTTTTACTCCGAATAGAATATGCTATTTTCTTTCAAACCCCTTAAGCTTGATTTTCATGCATCCGTGATCCGACGATACGATATTAATTTTAAAATTTATTGGTTGAATTTAAAGACGATTGGTTAAAAAATTACGCAATTTTTAAATTTATTGGATTTGCTTGTGATTGGTGTCACTTTATATTTTCATTTCCATAATGAGAGATTTCGCTGTTTTACTTATAGTCTAAGAGCTAGCAAGTTTTCGAGAGGAAATTTTAAGAAAGCTGGTTATTTAATATATCTTTTGCTATGCTCTCCTAAACAGAGTGCGGGCCGTCTGACTGCCGGTAGACGTTGCATTCACTACTGCGCATCACATCTGATTACTACTGCGCATTACAAATTCATCACGTATTTCAGGAACTAAGGGGGCTAGGACAAACATATGTGTAGTATATTTAGTTTCCTAAAAAAGTAGCAAAGTAATGTGAAAACCGCATCATTCTTCGCTCTACTCATAAACGAGAAATACCATTAAACACACGAAAATGGGATACCCTGTACAGATGTAATGTGCAGTAGTGAACCGCAGTAGTCTACCGGCAGGAGAGCATAGCAAATGATATAAATATATTAAAGGACCAATTTTCTCTAAAATTCTTGTTTTCCCGACGTTGCTAGCTCTTGTGCTATTATATTTTTATTAAAGTTAGATTAAATTTCTCAAAAAAGTGTCAAAACGTCCGTTATCGTACGATCTTTCTCCGTTGACGGGCTTGAGTAAAAAATTTAAGGATGAAAAGTGGCGCGTAAACGCTATGACCAATCAGAGAGCCATCGGACGTGAAAATCAAGCTTTATATGTTGGAGAAACTATGGTTACGCTCGTTGAATTTCACACTTTATGTCAGTTTAATAATACATTTTTGTACTTTTATGCTTGAGCGCAAAAGTGCTTCACTTTCTCGAAATGTTCTCAATAACTATCGCCAAATATTTATTCTGATTTATTTTCTCTATAACTTTTATTCAGTGATCACTCAAATTATCAGTATGCAGTTAGACTTGAAGTTCTAATATAAAACATACTGAGCAAAATTAGATTGGTATAGACTTTAGAGAAAAAAATATATATATGCAGATAAATATAGGATTTCACAAAACACTTACTTAATATAAGCTTCAGAATGAAGAACGCGTTGTGGTCTTGGTGGAACTGAAATGAACATAGGATCGGCAACTTTCTGTGGAGTGGCTGCCACTGGTGTGGCATTAGATGCTGGAGCTAAAGAAACAATAAATTTTGTTAACATCTTTTATGTGATTTTTTAAACTTGAATATAGTTATCTTTTTATGTTTTACCTGCGACAATAACAGAAGTATAATTCACCGGAGTTGTAATAAATGAACTACTAGCAGCTATTCCACGTGGAATAAAGAATTATATTAGTTTATTTTGTCCTAATGGATTAATGAAATAATTCACATACAAAATAGTTTATTTAGATCGTTATGTCATCATTGGACTATACTTTTTTTTATCAACCTCCAAATACTTAGTTACATAAAAAAGACAATAAATGTAAAACCATTGATGACATAAGCATCTAAATGAATCGAAAATATCATGCTTTTATACTATACAACATACAAAAAAAATTAAAATAAGAAAAAACGAAAACTCACTAGATACAGTTGCAGCACTTGACGTAGCAGAAGGTGCAGCCAGACGATTAATAGCAGCAATCTTACTAGACGGCTTGAAATTCCTACAGCAAACAAAAACAAAAGTTTAAAAAAATCATACTAAAAAAGATATATTTTATTGACTAATCATATACAAGACTTCTAACGCGTGAAAAAAAAATCGGCGTCAAATTAGCTTGAAAATGACGATACATGACATTTCCCATATACTTTCGATATCTTGCATTTAGATATAAATATAAGTATAGATTAAAGAGAAAAACTACTGATTTATTTCATTTTTGACATCATGGCACTTCTTAATATATTGGAAAACAATTATCAATATTATATTTATAAGTACACCGGATGAGTCTTAAATAAGTGCAAATATTTTAGGGGTAGTATATTTCGACCTCAGAAACACGTCTATGAATTTTTTTCACAAATAAAAAATTTTGAGAATTTGGAATTCTTAGAATTTTTTTTATTTTAACTTAAAAAACATAATACCTTCATAATATGGCAACATAGGTAGTAGATTAAATTTACAAGAAAGAAAGCCCAGAAAAGATACAATGCTTCTCAAAATTGAACCAAAAAATCATATTTTTCGCAAATTTTAAAGTAAAATAACTCGATTATTTTGGAGTTATTTGAAATAACGGTAAAGAGAAAATATGTTGTGTCTTTTATCGTGATCTACCAGCCCTGAAAATATTTACACTTATTTAAGACTCACCCTGTATAAAACAACATGAAAGTTTATTCTTTAATAACATCTACATATTATGTTTACATATTAAAGAATAAATAATATATATTATGTAAAATGCTAATGTTTATCTGTGTCGTTTCTACTGAAGTAACAACTTGCTCTAGAAAGTTGCTTTTTTTTACTAATAGATAGCTAATTGGCTCCTCTAAAAACTGTCGACGCCGGATTTTTTGTTTTTCATTTAATTAAAAAAATAAAATAAAAAGATTTCTTTTCCTGATGTGGCGGATGCGCCAGGCTTCAACTAGTCTTTAATAAGCAACTATGTAAGAAATATCTCCTAAAATCTCCCAAGAAGTTAACATTTTTGAACGGACGATCAGCCTCTTGGGTATAATTAGAATATTTAGAAAAAAACCGTTGTTATGTTTTACAAACTAAATATACAAGGTGGCCCACTGTTCAGAAAAGCTGTATCGCGAATATAAAATTACAATTACTACTTTCACGGCGTGAGTCTGGAGCATAAAAAAATCTATATCATATGAAAGTTATATGAACAAACAAGCAGGCAGGCAATTGATGTATTTTCAATTTTAGTACAAAAACAAACCAGTTGATAAATGACACGCCTTAGAAACCTCTGGTTCTAATATTGGCATCTTAGGACCGCCCAAAAAATTCCTAGAAACATTTTGTGTAATACAACAATCCAAATATTTAAAGTTAATTCTAATTAAGTTTAACAACGTAAATATTTATTGTTGTAAGTATTAAAAATACTCACTTGCTTCTGTTCTCAGGCAATATAGATCTCCCATTGCCCTTGTTAATATGCATATCCCTCACGTGGCGAATGAGCCTTGTTATGTTGGGGAAAGGTTGAAGATTTTTCTTATTATGGCGAGAACAGTTTCTCCATTTACAATGTATTTCCTCACCAGGATGTTCCTAAGTAGAAAGAGATAATACATTTTTATCAGAAACAATTCAAATTACTGAAAATATTTGTGTTAAATAACTAAATGCATCTTTAGTGTCAATTCAGATTTTAAACATATTAAAATAGAAATAATTTAATAAGCAAGAAAATATATGTAAGTATAAATAAAAACAGTTTAAACAGTAAAATCAACAAATTATAAAAAAATTGAGCTTCATCAGCAAAATAATATCAATAGTCTCAATCAATATCAAATTACATATATTTTCTCCTAATAAAGCAAAGTCCTCCTTTTTAATTTAAATCATTGTTACTAATTTTGTGGACCTTATTTGATTTTTTTTTTGGTGTTTGGATGTTGATATTTTGGTGAAAGTTTGAAACACCCTGCGGAATATGTTAACAAAGCAAGGAATTTGTTTACAAATCGTTTCTTTTTTTATTCATCTCAATAGCTTTATTTTTATAGGAGATATTCGCTTTTGAATAAGATTTGATTACTAAATTGATTTTGGGTTCTCATCAACACACTTACAAAATAGTGTTTATTGTTTTTGTAATGTCACTGTCATTGAAAAGTCATTATTATTGTTTATTGACGTTTACTCTGGTAGAAATGGTTTTAAGTTCTGAAGTATATATTATATTGCTGCTTTAATTGATCATGGTAGATATCAACTTTAGGATTTAAAACCATCAGCTATTGCTGCTTTAATTGATCATAGTAGAGATCAACTGTTGAACTTAAAACCATCTCTGCTAGGGTAACTGACGACAATAATAATATAATTTTTCAAAGACAGTGGCTTTAATGTAAAAAATTCAAAAAAATGTTAGTGTCTTCTTCAAAAACGAATATCTTCCAAAAAAAAACAAGCTATTAAGATGAATCAACAAACAAACTATCGAGAAAAGATACACCTAGATGACAAAATCATTTTTAAATCCCTTGCTTTGTTATCGTGCTCTACAGGGTGTTTCAAACTTTCAACAAAATATCAAGGTTTTGTTTTTCCTCGCATAATTGACAGATGACACAACTTTCATTTTTAATTTAGAAAAGAGATATTAAAAAGTCAAATAATTTAACTACAAATTGCTTAAACATTCATCAAAATCGGTTCACTAGAACAAAATATAAAAAACTTTAATATACAGAAATGTTTGCCGGTTTTTGTTTTTCGTACTGGTGATTGTAGTTTATTCACAATTAGCAATGACAATAACAAACTATAATACTGAAGGTCAACGTCCAAATTATAAAGAAAAAATAATTGTTGAAAAAATCCCTCAACAAATGGTCTTTAGTACACAATTTTTCAAAAATTCCCAAAATATGCAAGATTGACCATGAATGTGTGCCCAATATATATGCTGTCAATAGATTACATTTATTAACAGTGCTAATACTAACAAAAATGTACTTACTTGGAAATAAGCTTGCACATGACCCTGGGAATCTTTAGAATCTTTAACTGAATGTTCTACACAGTCGGTTACCTCCTCAAACTGGAAATCACAGTCATCCCATTTACATTCAAATACCTATAAAAATTATTACTGTTAATATCAACAACGTAAAATTTCCATTACTATTACAATTATCAGAAAATCAAAATAAAAAAAAAGTCTCTCTAAAAGTGTTTAAGAAGAGAATTTACCTGGTTCTCTGGTGGTGGCGCAGGTGCCGGACTGGGACACTGCTCTTGTTCTGCCAGCAACTGAGCCTTTGTCTCCTCATTTAGTTTAGAGGCTCTCTCTTCCCACATTTGTTTGTCTGTAGTCCCAAGAGACTTCCATTCTGAACCCACAATTCTCGATATATCACCAAATGTTGATTCGGGGTTATTCTGTACAACTCTTTTTCTCACGTCTCTCGAGTATAAAATGTATCCAGTTACTACTTTATTCTTTGTTGGTTTCTATGGAAAAAAAAAGAATTTATCACATAATATATAATCATTCCTAAATTTGTATTGACAATCCCAATGGCCCAATTGACTTAAAGATTCCAGAATTAGTTACACCATATCCAACCAAATATAAGATATATATCGAGATATAAATACTTTTTATTTACAAATAGTTAACTTTTTACAGAAATTCTTAACAAAATTAATTTTAAAATCCAAATACTACAAAAACCATATTTGTAAATGACTGTCGTAATAATAATTTTAATTACACTCATGGAATATGTATATTAAGACAAAAAATCAATCATGCTTCAAACAAGTATGCTTTGCACTACACAGTTAGCCAGTTATACAGCATAAATTTGTGATACAAGTCACCTTGTATTATGACAAAACAATCACACTACACAACAGAAACAAAACCATTAAAATCACAGTTAAAAGTTTACCAGCTATATATATTTTTGTATCTATTAAAGATAATGTATCTAAAAATAAGATAAGTAGGTCAACTTTTAAGCTAAGATTTACCTTTTTTGTTGTGCTCCCAGTCGGAGCTATGTGATTTGAACCCCCTGGAGTAGCCGTAATCAAATTTCCCACTACCGAAGGAATTTCTCCAGATCCTACTGAAGGAGGTCCCCCATCCATAGAATCTTCCATTACAATGTCCACATCAGCTAATTTACTCAAAGTAGGTGAGGCGTCCTGAAAATTTTCTTATTGTAGGGTTCATGAAAATATGTAGACGATAAAAATTTTTGCAATGATTTTACACTGTAAAGTTATTAATCAATATTTACTCAACCCAATACACAGAAATCAGGGTGAGGTAAGATTTATGTTAATTTCATAAATATGTACCAAAAACCTAATGAGATAAATAGCAAAATATAAAATTATAACTGGCACAAAAGAAATATTAAATAATTATAAAGATAAAAATAGTTCAATACCATAAAAAGCAAATGTTTTTAGAAAGTACATTAAATATGCAATTTATTCTATTTTAAATAACTGTAATACTTTTAACTGCTTATTTCTTGAAAATAATCGGTCGTCTAGATATATCAGTCAATGACCCTGAAGCTGAAGAGAAAAATCTACAATTTTATATTTGAACGCAAGAATAACCCCGAAATAACCAAAATCGGGTGACGTATTTAAGATAAAAATACATTTTCTATACACTTTTCACTGGCCAACGCCTTATTATTATTTCTATTAACTTTGGAACTCGTTAAAAACCATTAAATTTTAATACAAAATCCCCTAAAATATTCACCAAAGTAAACCAATTAAGGTAATAAAAATTAGTCTAATTTTGCGAGAAATATAATACACTAATTAGATATAAGCACAAATATCTTATTAATTTTAGAAAGCAGAATTTTTCACCCAAAATCGACACTATTCGAGGACACATTCTGTAAATTTAAAACTCACAGGAATTGCGTAAAACGAGTTATCCATTGAAGTATCCATTTTACTTATGTGACTCGATATAACACTTATTACATTTTATACAAATACAGTAATTCGAAGTACTTTTCCGTGGAAATTTTTTAATAAAAAATCACTGCATAATCTTGGGATGCTTTCCGTAAAAACTTGGATATTTTGACGTTTAATAAAAATGACAGACGACGTACAAGATGGCGGCCAATGGCGGCTGTGCGCTTTACGTTACCGAAATACTAAAAAATGAAATCCGACCGGGATAAAAACGGCGGGAAATTTAAAACATAATTTCAAACTTAAAAAGATACTTACTCTTGCATAAGCGCCAAACTTGCCCCTTAGTTTCGCAATCAAGGCTTCCTTAACGTTAACCTGCAACACACATCATCGACACATGCTCCCACGCAAACAAAAATATACGATAAAATAACATTGTGGCAAAATTTGCCAACATAAAAAGCAAATATGAAGCATTCAACAGTCATTCAAAAATAAGCATGCGTGAAAAAGCATTGCGACAATATTTTTTTTTAATTTTAAGCAAACACAAATGAATTTTTAATGAAAGTAACTTTTAGCAAAAATATTATCGCAAAGTACCTATAAAAATCTATGATTAAAAAAATTATTTTATTCCATGAATGTATATATTTATTTTTACGACTAGTTTGGATTTCAAATGGTTAATCTACAGAATTTATTATGTACATACATATGTTAAATAAAAGCTACAATATTACCACCGAAAATAGAATTATATAAAGCTATTTAATTCTATATAATAATGTTGACAAATATATTTTATGTAAATAACAATAACGATTCTTGAACTACGAGTTACTAATAAACTGTTCAATGATCTATAAATAAGACGGTGTTTCTATGATGACATTATTTCGTTAGCATAAAATTACATACATGGTGGCGCGTGACGCCTCCCATACGACGCGGAGGCTCCATGGAGAACAGTAGTTTATATATCGAAATAAAATTTTGGTAGCGTGTCATGTATGGGTTAGTTAAGAGCGTTTTTTAAAAATATAGAGAATTATACAGGGCGTCCCCAAAAAAAGTTACGTATAACAATTGGGTTTTTGTAAATGGAACACCCTATATATTAATTGATTTTCGGATTCTAGGAAAAAATAAAGATGAGTCTTAATGCGACAGCTACATATTTTATGTTGAAGTAAAACCGTCAGACATATCACCAGCCACCTAGATATTATCAAATAATAAAGATCAACTGAGATTAAATCATAAAAATGAAAATATCTAGAAAAATCTTTGTTGGACGGGTAGGCAACCTTAGTAGTATTTTAGAGAGACATGAATTCCCGATTGATTATCATTCAAAATAAAAGAGTAACTTGCTTTTAAAACTTCAATATTAATTTTGTCTCACCCTGTATAACTTTTTGGGTCAAGTTTTAATTTTATTTAAAGTACAATAGTTATTTTAACTACAAATTCACTTTACCGGAAAAATTCCAGTTTAGGTAGTTTTTATTGAAATTTAAAAATTATTCTTCATTTTTTGAAAATGTTAAATATTATGTCAAAAACCTTGCATTTTAGTCATATTATACTTCTCTAATGAAACACACCTTTATTTTTCTCATAGAATCCAAAAATCAATTAATACATAGGGTGTCCCATTATGGTTCCAAATCCGTAAGTATAGTTTTAAGTTGAACCAATGATGAAAAACTGACTATATCCCTGTATACAGGGTGCTATAAATTCGAGGTACGAGTATTGGTATCTCGGTAACCGTGATAGATACGAACATGGTTAAATTGGGGCAAAGTTGCGTATAGGAATGTTCACCAAGATGCCATCAAAAAAGCTTTAAGAATTTCAAGGATTGCTGAGTTTTTTGGAAAAAACTGATTTTTTTGAAAATTAATTTTATTTTTTCCTGTCGTTACTTTTTAGTAAATCAAAAAACTAATTGCACTTTCTCATAGCCACTTTATTAGAGCTATCTGATAGTATTTTTAGATTTTCAAATTAGCTGATAATTTGTGAGATACAGAGGCCAAATTAGTATTTTTAAATACGGACCTGCATTTTTTATTTCAGGTTTGGAAAGAACTCGGTCTCCTGAATACAATGATATGCCACACTTTATACTTTTTTTTGTTTTGGATACCTTAACAGCAACAAAACTATTTAATTATTACTAATTTAAAATAATAAGTCCGACTCTGGTTTCTTAAATTATTTAATCTGATTATATTCATCGCAACAATAATGATCAGCGCTAATTAACATTGAATAAGGAAAATCGATAGCCAATTAGAAGATTCAAATAAATAACATCCAGGTCAGAAATTTAAAGATATTGTTACGGATTCCGTGGGTCCACTAATTTAAACTCACGATAAAATACTTAACGAATTTATTTTCTCACTTTATACACAATTACTAACTTATAACACACAACAAACTAACTATTTATAAGATTCCTTCACCAAATTGTCCGATTTTCAATTTCCACGCGGTATATTCAAATTTCCACCCTCCCTATTTATTTTTACCAACCAACAACACCAAATTTATTTTTCGCTCAATTTTATTTACAGCTCTTTGAATTTTCTTTTTATACTTCCGAATGCATTTTGTACTCTTTATTGTAAATGCTGAGATGAATTAATTTAACTTTATTATAAATGATGTCAAATAATGTAGCCCCTTGGCTATAGGTCCAGGGGCTATATATTCTATATATGTCCTCGCTGGACATTATACTCCTCTACCATTTCCAATCCATCTTCCGGGAAAATGATTTGATTGTTTATATTATATTATATTCCTATTAATTATTTTATATTATTTTATTCCATTTGATTTTCCGTATTCAATGTTTCACCCCATGTCATTCTTAAGTTTGAAAGCTTATCAATATTGTAACGATGAAAAGATTAAATATTTAAAAAAACAGAGCCGGCCTTGAAATTAGTTTAAATAAATTGTGTTCAAATGTCAAAACAAAAAAAAATATTAAGTGTAGCATATCATTGTACTCAGGAGACCGAGTTCTTTTAAAATCTGAAATAAAAAATGCAGGTCTGTATTTAAAAAAATTAAGTTCGCCTCTGTATCTCAAAAATTATCAACTAATTTGAAAATATAAAAATACTGTCAGATAGCCCTAATAAAGTGGCTATGACAATGTGCAATTAGTTTTTTGACTTTCTAAAAAGTAACGACAGGAAAAAATAAAATTGATTTTCAAAAAAATCAGTTTTTTCCAAAAAACTCAGCAATCCTTGAAATTTTTAAAACTTTTTTGATGGCATCTTGGTGAACATTCCAGAGCGCAACTTTGCCCCAATTTAACCATGTTCGTATCTATTACGGTTAACGAGATACCAATGCTCGTACCTCGAATTTGTAGCACCCTGTACAAATCCAATTACAAAAGTACAAGTTATTAATTTAGGAATGAGAAGTTTATATTTTACAATAGAATAGATGAGATTATCCAAGGTGATTATCGGCCTGTTTCACTGCGACCGACCTTTTGAAAAGCTGCACTGTGGTCTTCTTCTATTCCTTAAGTTACATTCTCCCAATGACTAAAGAATCCAAGGACAAATAACACCTGAGAGCAAATTGTGACGATGCCACCAAACAGTGCCGTGGCACATATTTCTCTTAACCTAGCTGTTTGAAGAGATATTTATATATTTTGATAAATGTTTTGACTACGCCTATGGTGTATACGGTGGTATCATACTAATTAATTACGAAATAAACGTATTAAAATGTTAACAAAAGGTACAAAACTAGTATCGACGTATAGCACACATCAGGTACATATAATATCAGAAAAATAATTATCGAATTCAATAAGAAAACTAAGAAAACGCTAAAAAGGTGGAGCGGACTGTTTATTTACCTAAGAAACGTAACTCCTGGCTCTTTCTTATCGCTGCTGCTTTTACACTTGAAAGCTGAATAACTAATCACCATTGTAATAAAGTTTATACAAAATTCACTACACACGAACTATTAAAAATCCTTAAAATTGTCGCTGGTGACCAGCTGATGACTCATTGTTTGCTATCAAAAGAATGGCGTCTAAGGTTAAAAATTCTGCTGCAGCCCGTATAGGGGCGTTACATGTCCTTATATTCTTTAGTCAATGCATTCTCCAGTCCCGCCCTTTTCAAAAACTCTAGCAACTTGGAGACTGAACCCTCCATATAGCGCTTTTGTTAGTGGCCTAATACAGAGAACCGCACACTAGCCAGGCTGTGACACCGACATAAAATGTATTCTGTCGTTTCTTCAATTGAGAAAACCTGCACATGGCTTCGTCCATCATTCCCATTAGCTTTAGATGCCTATTCAGGTTACAATGCCCTGTTAGTAGACCCACTACAGCTTTGATTGTCTTTCTATCTTTGCTTATCAGGTCTTCCGTGAATTTTGGCGAATATACTACAATGAACTTTTCGCCTCTCCCCTGATGTATTTCTCTAGGGATTTTTCAGCCAACCACCATTTTCTGGCTATTCTTTTGACCGCTTTTGCAATGTCGAAGAAGTGTTCTGGGTGTATGAATGGCATTGATGAGCCTTGTTTGGCCATTTGATCTGTCTTTTCGTTACTCTTGTGACTAGGGTTCAGAACCGGGAAATCCCGGTACCGAAAGTACCGGGAAATCCCGGGTTCTTTCCGTACTTTCGGGACCCGGTAATAATTAAAAACATATTTTTTGTTACGTGCGAAAGACTTTTGATACTTTATTTTGAGTGAAATTTCTATAATGTTTATTAGTGAATGAAGTTTAAATATGTTATTTTAAATGTTTAAATATGTTAATTTTATTATTTAGTATAATAGGGTATAATATTGCTGAATGTATTAGTTAAATTTTTTGTGTTATGTTTTTATAGGCATTTGTATCTTTAATTGAAAATGTTAACAATCTGATAATATTTTCATTTGAAACTCAATTTTTTATCGCTTTTACTTTTCAGAACCATCCCTTGCTTGTTAACTGACGAATTCCACAATCGTTGAACGAAAATATTTTAGTACGGTTCTGGAAACTCTAATTAATACTACCAATTAGGGTTCAGATCTTTTTGGTCATCACAGAACCGGACCTCGGTAACAATAATTAAAAAAAAATATTTTTTTGTTACGTGAAAAAGTCCTTTAATACTTTCTAGTGGTCGAAATCAAACACTTCTAAATAAGTAATGATGCTATTTCATATTGTTCTTGCTTTTTTTCTCTTTTGAAATTCCTATAATATTTATTATGTTATGTTTTAATAGATATTTGGCATTTTTAATTTAATATTTTAGGCTTTTGTCTCAAATTCAGTTAAGTTGGTTTATGTTGTTTGATGT